TGACCGAAATACACTGCTGAGGGGAGCAGTGGGTGAGACAGGAGAGGTCTGCTGCCCCATGTGGGTTGCTCCCTGGCTGGCCTGGGACTGAACTTGTGCTGCAGAGGCCGCAGATTGCTTCATAGTGCGGTGCTTAACCTCTTGCACCACCAGGGAGGCCCCAAAAGTATATTCTTTTGCCTAATGATACCAGATAAATATTTCTGCTCCCTTCCCACTGGAAGAAATGCATTCTTATTTGAACTTTACTAAAATGTCTTGATTTCTTCAACTGCTTGATCCAAAAAGAATCCAAGTGTAACCAGTGTCAGTGTTATCAGTTATAAGCACAAAAGGGGCAAATGGCGCCTGGAACATCGGAAACAGATGTCCTGACAGTGGGTGAGAAAAAGAAAAGAGGAGACAAGAGCTCAAATGCTGGATTTTATTTTGACTACCTCAATTACTTGTCATGTTACCCTTAGGTATTCCGTATTCCTGAGTTAAGGCTTCATTTCCCCATGTAGAACATGAAGAAGATGCCCTCTCTGCTTTATCAGAGATAAGGAGTTTAAAATAAAAAAAAAAAAATAGATCACGTATGTGAAAGCCCAATGAACTCTGCAAAGGCACACAAATGTAAGCAGCATTATTGATCATTTTTTCTTGACAGGTCTCCCCCTTTTTTGTTTTATTATTATTTATAAATGTATTATTATTTATAAATTAGTGTCAGTCAGATCTTCTCTTTAAAAAAAAAAGGTATCTTAAGAATTGTTCTCAATCTGATGGGGGGAGTTCCTAATGTTACTTCAATTAAAATACATAAATAGGGCCTCCCTGGTGGCGCACAGGGTTAAGACGCAACCTGTGAAGCTATCTGCAGCCACTGCAGCACGAGTTCGATCCCCAGCCTGCCAGAGGGCAACCCACATAGCTCAGCAGATCTCTCCTATCTCGCCGGCTGCTCCCCTCAGCAGTGTATTTCAGTCAATCTGCCTGTTCTTTTCCCCACTCTGTCTCTGGTGAATCCTCTCACCTCCTGCACCTCTGGCCTGTACCCCAGCTCTTGTATGCATAAATAAATAAATCTTTATAAAAATACATAAATTTATTTTTAAAAAAAACTTTATTCAGTCAAAACTGAATTTGCCTCTAGTTTATGTCACACAGCAAATCGCTGACAAAATGACACTATTTCAATAAGGAAACAAGCCAATCCACCATTAAAATAGTTTCACACTAAAACCTACAATCAAAGGCAAACTATAGGTTTACTGAAGTTTCTTCCTACAAAGTTAAATACTAATAATCTATCCTTCAGGAAGTCTGTCTGAAAAATAGTTCTTGTTTTCTTCTTACAGCCTTATTTTCTATACATTAATAATAACCAAGGAAACTTGCAGTAACCATAGGTCTTATGCTAAAGATACATTTTGCCCACGATAAAGTAGAAATCTGATAAGGTATCAGATTTGAGATTGCCATATTCTACCCTGAAACTTAAAATCATCAAATTTTAAGAATGGGAAAGGAATATTGAGAGATTATTTAACACAGAATATCTTTGGAAGTTCCCCTAAGAAACCTACCAATGTATGAACAGAAAGGTGACACAAAAACTATGAGAAAAGAAGATGTATCTTTTTATTGAGTATCAGTCTGTACCTTTTGAAATTTGAGCCATGTGCAATTTACAAACATATGTACTTGTTAATCAATTTGCTATCAATCACTGAGGGAACACAAGGAAATCCTCATTTTCCGAAGGAAAACACTTGAGTCAAAGAAGTTAATGAGCTGCTGAGACACTGCTAGATGGTGAAAAAAACTGGAACTAGAACTTAGAAACCTACTAGAAGCTTCCAGTGTTTCCCACTTCACATAATGCTATGTGGTAAAATAGCAAATGCCCTCTTATAAGTGATAAAAATATTACAATAATTCTTTTCAGAATGGTGGCCTTGCAGGGGTGCTGGTGACTCGTAAGATACAAAGCTGATCGTTAGTGTTTCCACAGAAGCTCCAAGGCAAAGGGACAGAGATGACAATCCTCATTACCAAGACTTATGCCAAGTAGAGTTAACAGAGACAGCCCATAGATCAACCTGGGGACAGTTAGTTTCCCTCATCTATGGCATAATGGGATTCAAGCTTGTAATCAGGCCAGGAAAATTCTGCAGCGTTCCTAATTGCTAAGAGTCAGGGTGTCTGATGAGGCAGAACAGCTTTAGTAGTACAAAGAACTTATTGCTAGAGAATTGACAGGAAATTAAGCAAAAGCAGACTACAGGAAATTTCTACTTTGAAAGAAGTCATAACAATTCCACTGTGGAATTTGTCTTGAATGGGAGAACTAAAGAAATAACCAAGGGCCCCTTCCAGTCCAAAATGATCAAATACAGAGAGGCAAGAGGCAGTTCCAACTCCTAAGTAATTCAAGCATACTTTTCCCCTTGGTAAAAACTGTTAATTTTATCTTTCAACGGGCACAAATGCAGGAGCAACAGCAGGGGAAGAATAAGAGACGCCAGACATTAAAATGACCCAAGGATCTTGGAAAAAAGGAGATTTGTTAGGGGGCTTATTCTTTGCTTTCTAGGACTGTATGTAGCTAGACCTTCACATTTGGAGAAATACATGTATGTCAGATGTCCACTGTAGCTAGGGATTCGTTATTTTTAAGCACTGGGTAAATCTGTTTGCCAACAATTAATGATCTGATGAAACATTTTAAAAAGAGAACATGAGAGAAGATAACAAGACACATAATTATGTCAGGCCAGGAAGCCATAACCCACAGCCACTGCGACAGTTCATATTTCTAAAGAGAAATCGTGGCTTATGGACAAAACATAGGCCAAGGCTTTCTATGTCAACCCTGGGTCAGAAAGTCACATCACCCCATCCAAGTCTCTCTCATCACATCTTCTATTCTCTAACAGGAACAAAAGGCTCAAGTTCTAGGGCCTCCCTGGTGGCGCAAGGGGTTAAGCACAACACTATGAAGCTATCCGCAGCCTCTGCAGCACAAGTTCCATCCCCAGATGACCAGGGAGCTACCCACAAGGTGCAGCAGACCTCTCCTGTCTCGCCCACTGCTCCCCTCAGCAGTGTATTTCAGTCAGTCTGCCTGTTCTGCTCCCCACTCTGTGTCTGGGGAATCCTCTCACCTCCCACACCTCCAGCCTGTACCCCAGCTATTGTATGCATAAATAAATTAATCTTTAAAATGAAAAATTAAAAAAAAAAAGGCTCAAGTTCTTGCACTTAACCAAGCACTGCCATCTCCAGGGAATGGAGCATAAAAAATGTCTAGCCTCAGCAAAGGTCCTAAGAGTCCTCTTTCAAAGTCCATCTCCAATTTTCACTTAATATTTCAGATAAAGGAAAAATATTTGAAGTTGACTTGTTAATAAATTTTCTACATTGTTGAAAATAAATTGGCCTCATGGTAAAACAGGCACATCATTAAAAAAAAGAAAAAGTCACTGGAAACTTTGAGGTTAAATGATATCCTTCCCATTTAAAGGTATTCATATTAAAAAAAATCTATCAATGTATTTTATAGAAAACAGTAAACACACAACCCGAAGTTAAAAATGCAAGAGAAACATTTCACTTCCTCTCAGCAATAAATGAGTTAAACAGAGATAGAAGCTGCACTAAACATTACCAAAGGCAGGAGAAACATTTGGTGACTCACATTTTGCTTTGATGTCAAGTTTAAAATTAAAGAGCTGGTTTCTTTGGAAAGAAAATGAGGGGAAACTTTTATGTTATCCCTCTAAACATCAGGACCAATAAATGAAAAACTGTTTTTGCCTCCTAATCCCAATTTCAAAGACAATTCCTTTATTTCCCCCCCAAAATCATGAGTTATATCAAACATCTGGCACCATGAAATTTACTGTCTAACATGCATTCAGTGAAGATTAGTGCTCACAAGTACCATCCGAATTCATCAAATACGCTAAATTTTAACTTTTACCTCCTACCACTTCCCTACATAACCTCGTAGATTACACTTCTCTGGGTCTGAAGAAAAGAAAAAAAAAAAAAAAAAGAGCAAGGAACAACTCTCCCGTAGCGCAGTTCTCACAGACATAAAACTTGCTGAAAGAGGAAAATCGGTGTTCTCTACCCCAGGGCCTCTTTAGTGACCATTTTAATGGCTTAACCTTGTTTAAATATCTACTAATCTGAACAGCAGACCAACCCTTACCAAATTTTTCTTTGCCAAGGTAATGGAATAAAAAAAAAAAAAAACAAGGAATGCAGTTGATGTGAATTATTCAAATCATCAGACAAAGCCAAAGTTTCAAGCTAATGACATTACCCTGCTCCCCATTAACTTTTCGTTAGCCTCGCTTACAAGAAATTAACAGGCTGAGATTTAGGGCCGGTTTATTTCCCCGGCTCTCCCTCTGGCGGAGGCAGGAAAAAAGGGGGCATCGCAGAGAAAGAAAATCACAAGCCTAGGGCACATTGCAAACAACTCAGTCCTGCAGCAGTGATCGTCCTACGGAGCAGAGAGAGGGGAAACAGGTCTGCCTTTTCAGCACCGGACTCTGGCTCCAGATTCCTGCACTGCCTGCCAAAAGCACCGGCGTTTGCGCAAATTACTAAATAATCACCCACAACCTGGTGCCCCGACCCCCGGAGGAAAGACTTCACCCAGCCTCAGCGCTGACACCTAAGGCCGCTCGGAGAGAGCGAGGCCCGCAGAGGGCAAGGCGAGCTCCTAAGGAAGGACACCCCCAAGTTTCCCAAGCGGGGACCCGAACACCAAGTCCCGGCCCCGGTGCAAGAGCTGCAGCGTCGCTGCCCCCCGCGGCTCCCCGGAAAAGAGCAGACGCCGCCCCCGGGGCGGGGAGGGGGCTCGGAGCCTGCAGCCCCTCAGTCCCGCCCGCACGCCCCCGAGCCCCCGCCCGCGCCCCGCAGAGCCCCGGGCCCCACCCCGCGGGCTCCCTGCGCCCCTCCGCGCCGCTCTAGGGGGGCTCGGCCACCCCCTCCCTGACCTGTCCCCGCGGGGAGCGAGCCGGCAGCGCGACGTCTCCATCCCCGCCGCTCGGACGCCGGCAGCGCAGCCAGACCCGGGACGCCGCTGCTAGGGTGGCACGCCTGGCCGGCGACCGGGCCCCGCCCCCTGGCAACCGCACCCCGCACTGTTGCCGCCAGCGATTGGCCCGCGCGCGCGCCGCTCCCCTGCCATTGGCTGCGGCCGCCGCCCGGCGTGCGGGGTTTCCAAGGGGCGGGGGCGCGGGGGGCGGACGGCGCCTGCGCCGGGCGCGGGGCGGACGCGCCGGCCTTGGGTCCTGGGAGCGCCGAGCCTGGAAGGGGCTGCGGGCGGAAGGACGTGTTGGCTCCCGCTGCAATGCCCAGCCACCCACTCACTGTCGCTCGGGGAGCGGCCTCCCCGCCGCCCTTGCGTTTGTACCCAGAGACCACCCGGAGAGCTCCCAGCTTCTGGGATGTTGGGACTCACAGACCTGCGGCCGCACCCCTGCCCTGCGGCCCCTGCTGACTCCAGCCTTCCCAGGACCACGCTTGACACGCCCGGCAGCCATTCCTCGTCTAAGGCATCTTGCATAGTTTGCTGGTCTGACACCCCAGCCACGAAAGTCCTGCACGTCCTGCTCCAGCCCAAGCTTTTAGAGCATTCCTACCCTGCTCTCGGGACTCTCCTAGGAATCTTTTCCATCTGTCTCTCTCTGCAGCCTGTGGATTGTCTTCAAACATCCATATCCCGGAGGAGAACTGCTGTTTAAATGGCTACTCTTATCCGATAAAAGTCTTATCCCCCAACCATCGTTTTCTCTCTCATTATTATCAACTTATATACAGCGTTGCAAGTCCCTTCAGACACCCTGACAAGTTACTGCATGTTGATTTCAGTTTACAGCATCTGGAGGTCCAAGCTGTTGGCACATTGAGTTTCCAGAAGAGCAGAGCACCTCCTATCCAGCCTCCGTGTGACCCTGAGCATGGCTCATTATCTACTTGTAAAATAAACCTCCAGTTGTAAACTAAACAGAGCAATCAATCCCTGGTTGTCTAGCCCAGGCTGGACCGCTGACACCTGAGATGCTCTTTGCTTGGGCAAAAGGGCGATTGGGACACTGTTGACCTGGCAGTCCTGCATTAATCACAATAAGAAGTAGCGTTCTCTGAAAACTATCCACATTTATTGGCATACACTTTAGACATTTATGAAAGAATCATTTTCCCACCCTCTTTAGTATTTGACTAGCTCCTTTGGTTGGCAACAAAAAAATAAAAACCAGCAAATCTAAGTAACATACCTCCCCTGACGCTGATGTATTCAATAAAACAAAGCTAGCCGCCCTTGCTTCATAGCGCCCTTCAGCAGATGAGCCAGGGCAGCTTAACTATAAAGTCAGTGTGCTTTGATCTTTTTCTGCCCATCATGTCATGGAGGTAGCTCCCACAGAGTCGGCATTCAAAAATGTACCAATGAATTAGCCTGTATGAGGGGGCTAAGGGATTAGTGGTGAAGGAAATAAGAAAGCTTGTGTGGACTAACAGAGGCAGGGTTCTCTAAAAACATTCTGTACACATTTATTTACATACATTTTAAACAGTTACTAAAAGATACTTTAAAGTTTTAAACAGTTAATATTAGAAAAATATAAAGTAAACTGTTTATGACACTAAGAACTGTTTATAATACGAGATATTTTACACTTGATCTTAGCCAAAAGGCTGAGAAGCGATAATAAAACAAGATATTTTAAAAAGCAAATCCGGGAATTCAATTCCCTGTAACTCCAGGGCTCTAGTTAAAATATCTTTTATCTATTGATGTTATTAGTGTTATTTTCATTTTATTCTACTGATGTATTCTCCTGTGAGCCACAAAAGTGACATAGCAACATTATGAAAACCAGCCATCCATTACTTGCGACTGCTGAGGAGGAAGGCTAATGTCTGAAAAATTCAGTCAGCTTTTCACAAGGAACTGGCTTTTACTCAGCTTCCCTGTCTCCTGGAGATAAGTTAACAAGTGCTGCCGTCGCCTCCACGTGACCTTTATCCCATACTTGTCCTCTGGAGTGTCTTCAGCCAGAACAGGCACAGGCTGTGGGGTCTTGGGAGTACTAGTGTAAAGGGAGCCTCTTGGAAGGCTCTTCCCCCTCAGATCTGAGGGAGTGGGCCCTTCCTTCACAGATGACTCTGGGGTCTGGATATCAGGTGGGATGAACACATAAGGTAAGCTTTGAAGTGCATGTGCTGACAGTTCCCCACAGCTTTGGGGACTGAGCATTGGAACCAGGGGCCCTCCAGAAACGTCCTGTTCTGGTTGAGCTGGGCACTCCCTGATTGAAGGGATCTCAATTGAGGCTGAACTGGAAGACTGTGGTGTCTCAAAAGTTAGATGGGGGAACTTGGAGGTGGTAGATTTTCGACTTGAATGTCTTGCCTGGTCTCGGCGAAGAGGTTTCCGGTAGGTTGGGAACCAGCTTTCTGTTGTATCAAATTGAGGCGATACCTAAAAGGTAAGAGAACCAAGAATAAACTTGAGAAAGGAAACTACATCCAATGACCAGAATCCAAAATGGGAGCCCACTCAGTAGGACGCATGAAACACAAATAGTCACCTAATGGGACGCATGAGTTTGCACAAGTTATTCTTTCACACTAACCCCAACACCTAGCAGAATGCCCAGCACAAAGGTGGCCCCCAGTAAATAATGAATGGCTAACTACAAGAATAGGCAGTGAGACCTGGTATGAAAAGTAACTCGCCTAGGGCCTGGTCCATAAGGAGTTCTCAATAAATGTTCATTCCTCTTCATCATCCATAGGATTCTCACATTAAAGTTTCCTCACCAGTCCTAAAGCATTACTAAGCTTCTTCACAAGCAATCCTGCACAAGTCATATTATTAAGCACTTTTATGCCAGCTTTATATTTTTACCTGGCCCTGGCCCATTTGCTATCTACTTTCCTGACATACAATAGCTATATTCTCTTCCCAGGGCTTTTTTTTTTTTTTTTTTAAGATTTTATTTATTTATTTATTTATTTATTTATACAAGCACTGGGTACAGTCAGAGCATGGGAGGGTGAGAGAATTCACCAGAGCCAGAGCGGGGAGCAGAGCAGGCAGAAGGACCGAAGTACACTGCTGAGGGGAGCAGCGGGCGGCAGGAGAGGTCTGCGCGCCATGTGGGACCCTCCTCTGGTGGCCGGGGAGCAGCCGGGGATCGAACCAGCGCTGCAGAGGCTGTGGGCAGCTTCGCAACCCAGCGCTCAACCGCTGTGCCATGGGGGAGGCCCACCCAGGGCTTTTAAACAGTCGATATAACATGTGCTGTTTCTGTAGGATATTTTTCAAGGTTCGCTCCACTACATGGTGAAGAGAGTACCTCGCTAAAAACTCCCTCTCACATGACGCTCAGGGAACAATCTCATTTTTTACTTATTCTACCCTCCGTCTGGCTTTCTTTTCCATCCACAGGGCCATGAAACTTTTATACCAAATTATTTCAGAGGAATGTTCAATGCCTCAGTTGAATTTGGAAAATATACCAAAAAGAAAAAAAAGGAAACAAACAAAAATCCAGAGAAGATGGCTGACAACAGAAGGAGTGCACTGCCTTCTTGTCCCATGAATCTTCCTATTCTTTGGAGGCCCTGGTGCAGGGGCAGAAGAGGCAGTAGTCTGGTAAGGCTGACAGAGCAGAAGTAAAAGTAAGAACGCCATGGCCTGCCTACCCAGGAGGTGATGGTGCTGTGGTCAATGGGCTTGCTGGGTACCCGTCTGGTGTGGGTGATGGGACGCAGTGGAGCTCTAGAGTGGTGTTTGGGGCCCTCCAGTGGTGGTTGATGGAATAGCAACTGGGCTTTCTGGGCACTTCGACGTCGTTTTTTTCTGGGAGGCATCAATAGGCGAATGAAGACCAATTAGTAGCCACATGGTGCTGGATGTAGTGAGACTGGGGGAAAGGCTGCAGTTCCAACCCATGCCTGCAGAAAAGACAAAAGCTGGGATCAAATAATTCCTACAATTTCCCCATGTTTCCTTAAACTGTCATTCTATAAACTACGACCTCTGCCCACAAAGTGGTGGAGAACATGGCTTCCTGTACCACTGAGTAAAAGTACAATAGTTCACACTCAACAACTTTCATTCAGTTAACATTTATCAAGCACATGTTAAGCACCATGCTGGGTGTTAGGAATTTAAAGATGAATAACCATTTATTGTCAAACACCTATAGGACACAAAGATCAGACCGTCCCTGTCTTCAAAGAATTGAAAGGTTCCTAGAGGGAGACAGTAACAATAGTGAGAAGAATGCTTTCATTCACCCAGCAGAGGTTTCCCGAGAGGCTGACCGAGGGCTAGGACGGTGAAAGCAAAGCATGCTCCAGGCTGGGGAGCAGCACACACAAAGGCACACAGACAGGAAGAATCACAGATGCCATGTCGCTGGACTCAGGATATGAAAAGATGAATGGCAAGAAATGAGGCTGGACCTGGTGTCAGAACTGGGTGTGCCATATTAGTTTGGACTTGAGCTTCAATAGTCACTGAAGATTACCCAGCAGAAGGATATGATCACACTTGGGATTTTAAAAATTTCTTACCTCCTGACAATTTTGAACAAAATACAAAAGCAGACTGAATAGTAGATTGAACCTCAGAGTACCCATCGCTCAGGCAAACACCATCACCCATGGCCAATCCTGACAACTACATCACATTCACTCCTCTATTCTGTATTTTTCTTTAAAGATTTTTATTTTATTTATGCATACAAGAACTGGCCAGAGGTGTGTGGGGTGAGAGGATTCACCAGAGACAGAGTGGGGGAGCAGAACAGGCAGATCTACTGAAATACACTGCTGAGGGGAGCACGAGGAGAGTCCTCAGGAGAGGCCTGCTGTGCCATGTGGGTCAGCTCCCTGGCTGGGGATCAAACTCATGTCGCAGTGGCTGGCAATAGCTTGAAAGCACTGAGATTTTAACCCCTGCACCACCAGGAAGGCCCCCTACTCTGTATTATTTTTAAGAAAATATGATGTTCCCAGCTAGTATATCATCCCCACCAGCACAACTAATATATAAGTTTATATATTATATTTACATATTTATATAATATACATTTATATGCATTGATATTTATAGCTATTAGTTCCCTAATATCATCAACTATCCCGTGTTCAAATTTTCAATTGTCCCGTAAATGTCCTAATTGGCTTTTTGGTTGTTTTTGTCTTTTAGACACATTGTCCTGGTAACAGCTATAAAGGAGAGATTAAGTATCCTGGAAGTAGGGGGTACAGTTAGGCGCTTAATGTGTTACCTAGTGAGAAACAATGAGGCCTGGACCTTGGCTATGTCAGTGGTGACAGGAGGCTAGAGATAGAGGCAGGACCATGAGAACCCACAAAGTGATAAAAAGTCTGGCAAAATGTTCACTGAATCTGCTAATCAGATTTAATCAGAGCTTCATCAATGGAATGGTGGGAAAGATGTTTGCATGGAACAGGCAGAAAGGCAAATGGGCGTGCAGCTGAGCATACTGAGAAGTCACTCAAGGGGGCAGAGAGGTTCCAGTCTACATTCATGATTTATTCTGTCAACAAGTGAAAAGTAATATACGCTGACTTAAGGTCACTAGGCAGTGGAGATACTGGTTAAAAAAAAAAAAGGTAAAGTCTCTAGCCTCAAGGAACCAACATTTTAGGGAGAGCAGATAACAGATACATCTATGTGTTTGTTCATTCATTCATTCATTCAATAGTTACTGCATGCCTAGTGTGTGGTAGGCACTGGCCCGGGTGCTGCAAATCCACACCAGAGAACAAAACTAAACAGCTCTTACCTCCAAGTGGTGAGTGATGAGAAGTACTAAGAAAAATCAAACAGGACCTGGCCCTCCCTGGTGGCTCAGGGGTTAAAGTCTCAGCACTATCAAGCTATCGCCAGCCACTACAACATGAGTTTGATCCCTAACCAGGGAGCTAACTCACATGGCACAGCAGACCTCTCTTGTCCCTCCTCTGTTCCTCTCAGCAGTATATTTCTATAGATGCACCTGTTCTGCTCCCGACTGTGTCTGGTGAATCCCCTTACACACACACACACACACACACACACACACACACACACCCAGCACCTCTGGCCTACACCCCAGTTCTTGTACGCATAAATAAATCTTTAAAAAAAACAAACAGGATCAGTGGTTGAGTTGACCGAGTGCTATTTTACACAGGCTTGTCAGTGGAGGTCTGGCTGAAGACGTGATATTTGAGCAAAGACCTGAGTGAAGAAAGAGAACAGCAAACAAAGCAAAGAACAGTCCAGGCTGAGAGGATTTTAAGTGCAAAGACCATGAGGTAGGAGTATGACTCATTCAGGAAACAGTAAAGTCAGCGTGGCTAATTGGAGAATGCTAGATGAACCAGTCCATGTGACCAGACTCTACAGGTTAGGTTCTGAATTGAATTATTCTTAGTGTGACCAAGGAAGCCATTGGAAGTTTCTGGACAGGTGACAGAATCTGATCTATACTTTCAAAAGTATAAATAAGCACTTTGTAGAAGACTGGGGTGGGGGTGGGAGTGGAAAAGGAAGCAGGGGACCTAGTTAGAGGGCGGCAGCCATCTAACTAGCTGAGACAGGATAGTCATCAGCCATCCCGCTGTAATTAGAGCTCCACCCCCTTAGCTACCTAAGGCCTTTCCCTCTGCTTATGCTTTGGGGCCTTCCCGCTCGCTAGACAACCTGACCAGTAATCATCTGTTCAGCCTCAACAGCCACTTCAAAACACTTAAATAGAAATACTCAAGTATTTATATAATCAGCTTAGACTTCTCCACACACTTCCAGCTTCAGCTCACACAAGCCCTTCAGGTCTCTTAGCTCAAATTTCTCAGATGCCTTCTTTGCATATAGGATCAGATCCCGCTGCCTACTGACAGCAACTAGATGTCTCACAGGCACCTCAACCGCAACATGTTATAAGATGATTTCATGATCAGTCTCCCGCATCCTATCCACAAAAGCGATTCTCCTCCAGGGCCCTAGCTCAGGGAAGGGGATCATCATTCATCCAGTCATGCTTGCGGGGCCTTGGTATTTCCCCCCCTGACCCCCCATCCAATCCAGCCCTGTCAATGTTATATTTTAAATTCCTCTCCAGTAACCCCCTTTCTACCTCTCTCTGTCCCTCCCCCTCATTCTGGCCCCCCCTATTTTCTCTCACCACCCTCCTTCAAGTTCCAACTATTCCAGCCTGGAGTACAGCCATAGCCTAACTGGTCTACTCTAATCCACTGGGACACCCCCTGCAGAGGAACTTTTTAAATGCAAATCCCATCTTAAACTCTTCCGCGGAAAGTTTTGATTTTTGGATAAGGACAAAGCCCTGCTGGCTCCCCTTCCAGCTTCATCTCACACCACACTCCCTTCAGGTCTCTGACTCAAAATCCCCACACATTCTTCAGCCCTTGTACTCACCAGGCCTCCTCCAGCCAACTGGCCTTTGCCAAGCGCATGCCTCTGGCTTTGAAGGTCTCCAACTGCCTTCTTGTATAAAGACATCAAATCTCAGACTAAGCTGCATTTCACCGGAAAAGCCCTCACTGGCCCCGCCTAGGGCAAGACCTCCTTACTGCAGATACCCCAAGTTATCATAACCTCCTGTATCGCTTCCCGGCTACAAGGCTCCAGGTTTCCTATCTGACTCCACGTCCCCTCTCCCGTTCGCCCGGCTCTATCCTTGTGCCCACCCCGAGCCTGGCACGTAGTAGGTGCCCAATAAAACGTGTTTCCTTACAAAGCCCTGTCTTACATATGCTGGGCTGGGGGCGGGGCACGCGGCAGAAGAGGGGTAGAGACCTAGAGCTGAGAGGAAGGGCTGATTTAGGGGGCGTGGGTGGTATTTTTAGGGGGGGGGAACTTGAACAAAACCACACGCTGAGCCTCCCCTGGTGGCGCAGCGCTTGAGCGCTGGGCTGTGAAGCTACCCGCGGCCTCTGCAGCGCAGGTTCGATCCCCGGCCCAGGCGAGGGTCCCGCATGGCGCGCAGACCTCTCCTGCCGCCCGCTGCTCCCCTCAGCAGTGTACTTCGGTCCTTCTGCCTGCTCTGCTCCCCGCTCTGGCTCTGGTGAATTCTCTCACCCTCCCGCGCTTCTGACTGTACCCAGTGCTTGTATAAATAAATAAATATTAAAAAAAAAAACAAACCACACGCTGCTGCCCTCAAAGAACCCCGGGTCTAGACGGCCGGGGCCCCGAGCGACCGTCGGGTGGAAGCACTTGGGGCTCAGTCCCTTCCCAGGGAGGAAATCCAGCCGCGCTGACGGGGCGCCGGGAGACCCGGCTGAGGCGGCGGCCGGGGGGCGGGCGGACGGCGGGCGCCCCAGCAGCGCCGCTCCCCGCCCGGCCCCGGCGCTCCCCGCCCGCCCGGCACCGCGGGGGCCCCCTGCGCCCCCCGGGCCGCCCCACGAGCCGGCGCCGCCGCCGCCTTACCCGCCGGGCCGCGAACCCGGGCGCCGCGCCGCTCCGCTCGGCCGCGTTCGAGCCCGGAACGCGGAGACACGGGCCGGCGCCGATTGGCCGCGCCGCGTCACGTGACCGCAACGCTCCGCCGGCGCCAATTTCAAACAGCGGAACAAACTGAAAGCTCCGGTGCCCGACCCCACCCCCGGCCCGGCCGGCACCCCCTCCCCTCCCGGGATCCCCCGGGATTCCCCACCCCTCCCGCTCCGCCGGGGTCCCGGCCGGCCCGGCGCGCGTCCCTGTGCGGGGCCCTGGCCCGGCCCCAGGTCGGAGGAGCCCGGAGCCCGCCCAGGAGCCCAGCCCGGCCGCGGCGGCCGCTGCAGCCCGGAGGTGAGCGGGGCGGAGGCGTGGAGCCCGGCCCGGCCCGGCCCGGCGGAGGCTGCGGGCGCGGCCTCGGGCGCCGAGACCCGGGGAGGGCGAGCGGCCGGCCTCGCGGGGCGGGAGGGAGGTTTGGAGCCGCACGGGAGGGGGTCTGAGCCGGGTGCAAATTTTTTCTGCATCCCCCACCCGCCCCCACCCCCTATCCAGGGCTTGTCCGGGCCAGAGCACCGCCGGGCCCGCCCTGGAAGCTTGACCTCTGCACCCTGCTCGAAGCCTGGAGGGGCCGGGGGCTCTGCTTGCTAGGCAGGCCGAGGCTGGGAGGAAGACGGAGGTGGTTCTGCACGGCCACACGCCGGCGTGTTCACACACCCGCTGCCCCAGGTGCCGTCACCGCTAGGCACCACGGCCTCGACCCGGCGGGGCCCTTGTCCTGGTTCCGGAGAACCCTGCAGGGCTTCCCCTGGTCAGGACCCGCTGGGGCCAGAGTAGACACTCTGGAAGTCCCCCGGATTGTATATGAAATGTTGGCGATGATAGGAAGTGGGTGGGGGCAGAGAGTAGAAGGGCAAATTAACCCTTAGCCCAAGAGGGTATTTTAAGGGTGAGGAATGATTATAATAGCTACTGATTGATGGGGGGCGGGGAGGGGGGGAGGCAGGAAGATACAGGAGGTGGAAGTAAAACTGAGATTTGAGGCAACAGAGGTACAAACCGAAAGGGAGGAGGCAAGGTGGAGCACCAGCCTGTGAATTTTAAGCAGGTGGCAGGGTCCTGAGTGTGACAGTCATTTCAGGGAGACTGAAAAGAGTCAGCCAGTCATTACTCTGTCTCTCCAAGTCCTTCCAAAAAGAATCACCCAACTTTACAGAATGGTAAGGTAGTCCATGTGTCTATTAAAATCAACAAAACACTTTTTTAAAGATGAAACCATTTTAACATTAGAAAACCAACTCTGCATATTGACACATTCTATTAGTCAGAAGATAAGATTATAATCTTAGTTCTGCAAGAGAAATTAGGGAAAAGCTTAAAATATGAATAAGTTACATGCAAGTAGTAAAATGTCACTATTTTGCTCAATGTGAAAAAACATGTATGTATGTATGTATGTATGTATGTATATGCATAGAGAGATAATGGTCTGTGAAATGAATGGTTCCCCTTAATGTTAATGGGCCTTGAATAGAACAGTTTCACTATTTTCTGAGTTTTTGTAAACTGGGAGATGATTCTTCTGTGGTGTGGCCATAGAGCACTAGTATCACACTAGTTTCTATTTGTGTGGGCGCTGATCCTTTTATTTGTAAAGGCTGTACCCTAGAATAACTTTTGGGATCAGACTCCTCATTACCAAATGTCCTCCTATTCCAGCATTCCTGTCCCTACAGTCATGGCAAGTGATCTGTATTGTAAGCAGTAATAGAGATTTCCACATTCTGGTAGCTGCCCTGTTTATTTCTGTAGCCAAACATTCTTAAGCTTCCAGAAGACCTTTGGCCATTGTAACCTCCCCAATCCCACTTGCCCCCTTTGAATTGCCTATTTCAGTTTTAGCTTTGTTAGCAGAATGTGTCTTGTATAGTCTGAGGTCTTTACAAAGGCCCCAGGAGCATTCACATACTCCTGGTCATAGAAAGAGGAACACCTCCCTCTAATCGGCTCTCCTTCTCAGCCTAACAGAATCTCTGACATCCTGCTGCTCTGTGCCCTTTCCAGGGTCCATGCTTGTGATTCTCAATGGAGAGTGAAAGCACAGATTCATAATGAAAACCAGCCCCCATCGGCCACTGATTCTCAAAAGACGGAGGCTGCCCCTTCCTGTTCAGAATGCCCCAGGTGAAACAGCAGAAGAGGAGCCCAAGAGGTCCCCTGCCCGACAAGAGGCTGGTCAAGGGCAGGCCTCCAAGGATGAGCCTGAGTCCAACCCTTGCAGGTTTCCAGCTGGAATCAAGATTATTAACCATCCCACCATGCCCAACACCCAAGTGGTGGCCATCCCCAACAATGCCAACATACAGAGCATCATCACAGCATTGACCGCCAAAGGAAAAGAGAGTGGCAGCAGTGGGCCCAACAAATTCATCCTCATCAGCTGTGGGGGAGCCCACACACACCCACCAGGACCCCAGCCCCAAGCACAAACCAGCAGTGATCCCAACAGGACAGAAGTGATTCCTGAGACCCTGGGGCCAAAGCCTGCAGCGAGGGATGTGAATCTTAGACTACCTGGAGCCCTTCCTGGGCAAAGATGGGAGAGCTGTGGTAGGTGTTCTACATGGCAAAGGGGTGAGGAACCCAGCCTTTCCTTTCTGGAGGCAAGGACTGCAGTCAGTCGTGTTGATGCTTACAACAGACAGGCATCTCGCCTGGACCAGAGGAAAGTCTTGCTTTCTTCATCCTGAAACCTTGACCTAGATCCTCTGAACACTATCAAAAGGGTTGTTGCAGTTATACTTTAGCATTTCTGTTGCCTTCTTTCTATTGGAAAAGGATTTGTTTGTTGTTTCTCTTTATGCTTTCCATGGGCTGTTTAAGAAAGCAGAAATCTTTTCTCCATCTTAATAAAGGAGGAAAACAAGCATGAGGAAGAAAAATGACTTTCTTTGTGCAGATACTCAATAACCCTTTTGTAAGTCGCCTTGGCTGTTCTCCGAGGCTCAGTGTGGCTCAGATTGAAATGCAATTAGAACTATGCTCCCAGATTTCTCCTGAAATCTTTTAAGGGGCAGAGTACCTGAGAGCCACAATAGACTCAGGATGCATTCCTGCTCTCAGAGGGTAGAGATCTTGGAAGGGTGACCCCCAGCCACCCTTTAGGTGGGCATGCTGGGCATCAGATCAGGTAGCTAAGTGGCATCTTGGATTGTCTCCCCTCAGCTGGCGGTGAGGCAGCAGGTTGCACTCTCGACAATAGCTTGACCAACATCCAGTGGCTTGGAAAGATGAGTTCTGATGGACTGGGTTCCTGCAGCATCAAGCAAGAGATGGAGGAGAAGGAGAACCAGCACCTGGAGCAGAGTCAGGTTAAGGTGAACTGTTCTGCCACTCACTAGGGAAGTCAGGGCTGGCGCAGGAATTTCAAGGAAGGGCAATGGATAGAGTGACCTGGGGAAACAAAATTTCCAAGTCCCCTTGGTGTTAGTCTGTGTAACCTTTGAGCTACTTTTCTGCCATCAGTGACATCTCTTCCTCCCATCAGTGACATTTCCTTGAGGGCGGACTGCTCTAATATCCCATTAGTGAGTTTGGTACTCTGTCCTTAGCAGAACTTAGCAGGAGTTCAAGAAATGATGTAGAAGTCTTAGTTCAGGGTGCCACTGAAACTTTTAAAAAGGCATCCCAACAATACAAAAGAAATAGAACATCTTTAACAAGATAATTTTGTTAGAAGATACTAGCAAATAAAGGGAAGAAGACTTAACCAAATGCCAGCTATGCAGATGTGTGTCTGTCCCCTACTCTTGGGACTGGTTCTCTCATACAAATATTGAAATGAGCCGACTTTCTGTATATCACATCAGCAGTAGGAATCAGAGTAAGACCCAGGTCTGAGAAATGGCCATCAGTGCTTTAAGAATCAAGCTATGCTCAGGCCTTCCTGAAGGGTTGCACCTAGAAAAGACTGGATGTGAGCTTATTAATGGGAAAAAATGAACAATGACAGAGAGATGGTTCTGTATCGTTTAGGAACTGAGCTATATCATCTCTAAGATCCTAACTAGAACTGTATTCTATGGAATAGGATTCTAAAGGGATAAAAGTTTCCTTTAAGGGATCTTTTTTGAGGTGGTATTGGCGGGGGGGCTGATGGTCAGGTCTCCATGTTAACCCCTTCTTTCCTTCCCCCTGACTTCTCATAAACCTCAGGTTGAAGAGCCCCCCAGCACATCCACTTCCTGGCAGGACTCGGTATCTGAGCGGCCCCCCTACTCTTACATGGCCATGATACAGTTCGCCATCAACAGCACAGAGAGGAAGCGCATGACCTTGAAAGACATCTACACTTGGATCGAGGACCACTTCCCCTATTTTAAGCACATTGCCAAGCCGGGCTGGAAGGTACTATATCCCAGAGTCCAGGTCTCTTTGGCCAACAGTTTGACACGGATTTGAAGGAGTTTGTGTCTAGTGCCTTGGGGGAAACAATTGAATGCAAAGGATGCTAGAACTATAAACAAGGGCCTCCCTGGTGGTGCAGGAGTCTAAGTCTCAGCTCTATCAAGCTATCAGCCACTGTGGCAATAATTGGATTCCCAGCCAGGGAGCTGACCCACAAGGCATAGCAGACCTCTCCTATCTCACCCTGTGCTCCCCTCAGCAGTGTGTTTCAGTAGATCTGCCTGTTCTGCTCCCTACTCTGTCTCTGGTGTATCCTCTCACCCCCTCCTCACCCCCCTCCCATACCTCTGGCCTATACCGGGGTTCTTGTATGCATATATAAATAAAAATAAAAAATCCGCTGGAAGGGATCATGCTCAGCGAAATAAGCCAGAAAGAAAAAGAAAAATACCGGATGGTCTCACTCATAGCAGGAATCTAGAAAACTTAAATAAGGGACCAGGAAAATGAATAACTATAAGAAAGTGAAAATCAAAATCAACAAAAACTTTGAACCAGAGACACTCTATGAGGGGTGGGGGTGGAGAGGGGAGGGATTGGGGTCAAAATAAGGGGGTTGCAATTGTATGGGGAATATAAAAATAAAATTTATAAAAATTTAAAAAAAAAAAATTTAAAAATCTTTAAAAAAAAAATACAACTATAGGGCCTCCTTGGTGGCACAGCAGGTTGAGCACAGTGCTGTGAAGCTGTCCGCAGCCTCTGCAGCACTGGTTTGATTCCCCACCAGCCCAGAAGATGCCCGCATGGTGCAGCAGACCTCTCCTGTCTCGCCCGCTGTTCCCCTCAGCAGTGCTTTCGGTCATTCTGTCTGTTCTGCTCCCCACTCTGTTTCTGGTGAGTCCTCTCACCCTCTCATGCCTCTGGCCTGAACCCCAGCTCTTGTATAAATAAATAAAATGTATAAAAAAAAAGTAAACATATCACTTAGAAGTGACCCAGTGTTTAAAAAAGAAAAAATACAACTATAGACCATGTAGCTTTTGGATTGTGACCTGATCCTGCCACATCCAGGCAAAATCATCAATAAGGGCTCTGTACCCACTTTATCTGTACTACCTAAGGTTTGTGGCAACTCTTCCATGTAGCATCAAGCCCATTTTTGTGCTACTTTGTGCAGCATTTCTGGGTCACCAGCTAGAAGGACTAAGTAGGTTTATGAAAAGATCTTTAAAAAAAAAAAGATTTTATTTTTATTTTTTACATAGAAGAACTGGGGTATAGGCCAGAGGTGCAGGGGGTGAGAGGATTCAGCAGAGACAGAGTGGGGAGCAGAACAGGCAGATCGACTGAAACACACTGCTGAGGGGAGCAGTGGGCGAGACAAGAGGTCTGCTGTGCGATGTGGTTTAGTTTCCTGGCCGGGGATCGAACTCGTGCTCAGTACCTTTATAGCTTGATAGCACTGAGACTTAAGCCCTTGCACCCAGGGAGGGGTTTCACCAGTTTATGAGAAGATCTTTTTTTTTTTTTTAAGATTTATTTATTTATTTATACAAGCACTGGGTACAGTCAAAAGCGCGGGAGGGTGAGAGGATTCACCAGAGCCAGAGCGGGGAACAGAACAGGCAGACTGACGAAGTACACTGCTGAGGGGAGCAGCGGACGCGACAGGAGAGGTCTGCGCGCCATGTGGGACCCTCGCCCGGCAGCCGGGGATCGTACCGGTGCTGTAGAGGCTGCGGGCAGCTTTACAGCCCAGCGCTCAACTGCTGCGCCACCAGGGGAGGCCCCTATGAAAAGATCTTAATGAAAAAAAAAAAAAAAGTATTGTTGTCTGTGAGGCTCATGACTCAGGATTCCCCTCCTATAATGTCACATATCCCCTCTGGAAGGCAGGGCTTTTCACTTTACTCAGGAGATGCCTGGGAGACATCATGGCTCACACTGCAGTGTCTGAGCCAGCACTCCTCACAGGCACTCAGTTCTAGACCAAGGGGTTTGTTATTTTGCCAGTCTTACCTCTACTTGTTTTTTCCTTTCTTTTACTATCTATTATGTGTCATGGTCCCACTCCTCTTTCCTGGGAACACCTGTCCAGCCTAAGGAATGTAGGACAGGTGGTAGGCTGGCTGAGGTATGCTCTGCCACTCAGAGGCTCAGGGAGAGAGTGCTAGGTGGCAGGATTGCAAGGACACGTGCCGGCCTCTGCTGGTACAGTGGGAGAGGCCTGGAGCTGACTTCCCTTCAAGGGCTATCAAAAGTGATGTTTCTCTGGTCCAACCACTATGGAGAGCTGTGTGGAGATTTCTTGACCTACTAAAGATAGAGCTTCCATATGATCCAGCAATTCCACTTCTAGGCATTTACCCAAATGACACAAAAACAGTAATTCCAAAGGGCACTTGCACCCCTATGTTTATAGCAGCACTATTTACAATAGCTAAGCTTTGGAAACAACCCAAGTGCCCAAAAATAGATGACTGGATCAAGAAGAGGTGGTACATATACACCGTGGAATATTACTCAGCAATCAAAAAAGATAAACACATGCAGTTTGCAGCAACATAGATGGAGTTAGAAGGGATCATGCTCAGCGAAATAAGCCAGAAAGAAAAAGAAAAATACCGGATGGTCTCACTCATAGCAGGAATTTAGAAAACCTAAATAAGGGACCAGGAAAAAGCCTAATTAATACAAAGTAAAAATCAAAATCAACAAGCAACTATAAACCAGAGCCACACTACAGGCGGGGTGGGGGGTGGCCGGGGAGAGGAAGGACTAGGGTCAAAATAAGGGGGGGTGCAATTGTATGGGGAATATAACCAAAATGAAAATGCATACATTGTGTAAAAATGAAAAATGATGTAAGAATTATATAAAATAAAATATTTTTTAAAAAAAGAGAGGAAAAAAAAGTGATGTTTCTGAGGCTCACGCAGCTGATGACTGGGTGTCATCTCTTTCAGAACTCCATCCGCCACAACCTTTCTCTCCATGACATGTTTGTGCGAGAGACATCTGCCAACGGCAAAGTCTCTTTTTGGACCATACACCCCAGCGCCAATCGCTACTTGACATTGGACCAGGTGTTTAAGGTGAGTGTCCTGGTTTCATTTAACAGAGCCAAAGCTGCCGATCATGCTATCCTTCTCAAAAGGAATCCAGAGCTCGCGATGCTCTTGTCTGCTCAGGGAAGACTTAGAAAGCAGCCAGCTCATTGGCGACTTGCATAAAACTCACTGAATTAAGAACAGCTGACCAGTACTGAATGCCACGTTTCTGTGCAAGGCCTGTCATGGGGACAAGTGCTCTGATGCCAAACAGGGCTTCCAGGGGCGGCGTCTCCCCAACTCCCTGTGCCTAACAGTGTTAAGATACAGCTTCCCACACGCTCCTCTCTTGAGACTCCTGATTCAGGGGGTCTGGGATGGGCCCAGGAAAATGTGTTGTCAACAAGCATCTCAGTTGCCACCTGGGAAACCTCAAACAAAAACTTTCTTTAAAAAAAAAAGTCCTTTTTCTTCAGGCTGGAGACCAGAAACTGAGCCACAGGAGCATCTTTTCAGAAAGAAGCAATTGTTTGGGAATTTCAGAATGCCCTTAAATGCTGCTGGCCACTCTGACAGTCCTCCTGGGAGGGAGTTATCTGGGGTGGCCCTCAGCAGCCATCAGGAATAGGTGTTTTTCCCAGTCTGGTCAGATTGACCCCATCGGTGGTAACTTCCTCTCCTTTTTTTCCCCCAATGCCTGACCACCACCAGCCACTGGACCCAGTGTCTGCACAATCGCCCGAGCACTTGCAATCAGTAAGATTCTTTCCTCTGGCTCGGGGCTTGGCCTTGCTTTCCTCTCCCTGCTCAGCATGGCTTTAGTGGACAGGGACAACAATAAGCAGGGGACAGGGAGCTTGTGGCCATGTGACTGCCAGCCCTAACCGCGGGACCCCCTGAATTCATGGGAGTAAGGAAGTTTGCGACCACCACGGCATCTCCCCAGAAGTAGAGCTTTGCCCACCTCACCATCCCCTTCCCACGGGCATCATGAAGGTGCACTGAGCAGAGCAGGGCATGCCAGGAGGCACAGCTATGACAAGCACGTGGCATAGAACTCACAGGTGACAGTTTCTCTCCCATGGCTAGCTGGCTTTCCTTTGCCACTCACAGAGCTAAATGCTTTAGCCTCCCCTGGGGACACATTCGGAAGAGGTGGTAGGACTGTCCTGCCATCATATATCTGTGCGTCCACCTTTCCCCACTAACCAAGGCTTTGAGACAGTGCTGACCTGCACCTGCTCCCCAGACTGGCCTTTTCTTTCTGGGCTGTCGGACAGCTTGGTGCAGTGCCAGAGCAGCTGGTGGGGTCCTCCCGCCTGTTCCCCTGCCTTATTAACCCAGGTTTCTTTCTCTCCCTATCTGCCACAAGCAGCAGCAGAAACGACCCAATCCTGAGCTCCGCCGGAACGTGACCATCAAAACTGAACTCCCACTGGGCGCACGTTAGTATGGGAGAGTGGGCCGCAGGCCTGGTCCTAGTTCGGGGGCATAGCTTTAGGGATCAGGCTCCGGGATTCTGTTCCCAGCTCAAAGGGATCTGAACTCAGAAGGCGAGCACAGCTCCTGGGATTGAGAAGGGGTGTGTCCCTGGACCCCTGCTCCTGATCTCTCTTATTTCCTCCTAGGGCGGAAGATGAAGCCACTGCTGCCACGGGTCAGCTCGTACCTGGTGCCCATCCAGTTCCCAGTGAACCAGTCTCTGGTGTTGCAGCCCTCGGTGAAGGTGCCGCTGCCCCTGGCGGCTTCTCTCATGAGCTCAGAGCTTGCCCGCCATAGCAAGCGGATCCGTATTGCTCCCAAGGTGAGTGACTTCTATTATTCTCTGAAGAAAAGCTTCCATCAATTAAAAGTGTTGAATCTATGGCTTGCAAAGCACTCTACTAAGTGTTCCTTGCAGAGCCTATAAATCTAGTTGGGAGGACAGGGCATAAATATATAGGAAAATATAATGGTATTATGAGAGCTAAAAATGAATTTAGATTCCAATGTAAATATTCAGTAAATACCCAATGAGTTGACAAGGGTAATTATGATAGATGGACTTGGGTAATTAAGTTCACAAGGGAAGTAGGTTTTAGAAAGATTTGGGTAAACAGCCAAGCTTGGCGAGAACATTCTAATGTGCAGGCCATCAAGGCAGGAAATACCAGTTTCTGCTTAGAAATAGGAGAGTGGATGGGTGTCAGCCCAGCTCAAGGTCTCTCAGCTTCGGTACTATTGACATTTAGGGCTGAGTAATTCTTTTGGGGGTGGAGGGGTGCTGTCCTGTGCACTAACAGATGTTTGCAGCACCTTGTCTTTCCCCACTACATGCCAAGAGCACCCCCGCCCATGTCACCCACTGCCACCCCTCCGCCCTGTAATAATTTTAAAAATGTCTACAGACATTGCTAAATACCCTGAGAGGGGGATCACTCCTGGCTGAGCATCACCCATCTGGCTTACAGGGAAGGTGAGGAGTATAAGTTAAGACCATAATGTAGAGGGCCTCCCTGGTGGCGCAAGGGATTAAGATGCAGCACTGTGAAGCTACCTGCAGCCACTGCAGTATGAGTTCGATCCCCAGCCTGGTGGGGCGGCAGTGAGGGGCGGGGGTGACCCACAGGGGGTGGCGCAGCAGACCTCTCCTGACTCTCTCCTGCTGCTCCCCTCAGCAGTGTGTTTCCGTCAGTCTGCCTGTTCTGTTCCCCACTCTGTCTCTGGTGAATCCTCTCACCCCCACGCCTCTGGCCTGTACCCCAGTTCTTACATGCATAAATAAATAAATCTTTAAAAAAAAAAAAAGACCATAATGTAAAAGGGGGTGGGCAGGGTATAAAAATAAAAGAATACTAAGAAAAAACCACGTTGTGATGGGCTACCAAGTCTGGACTCCGCCCTGTGAAGAAGGGTCTGTGGGCAAGAGCTCATTTGCAGCAAAGTTAGGGACCTCTGCCCCCTTCGCTGAGATCAAAGTAGCATGGGCTCGAGTTTCAAGAGACTTGGGTTTACTTTTTGTTGGTGGTGCTAATTTTAAAAATGTTTTGAATTATTCATAACATCATACATACCACCACATATAATTTTACATAAATTCATTCATGTGGTTATAGCTTATTTACTGTTTTTGTTGTAATATAGCCTTTCAGCCCCCCTTTTTTTTGCTTCCCTCACCCTGCTTTTACCCACATACCTCTGCTCCCCCAAATAGCCCAATGTACTATGCTTTTCCATATTTTCTCCACACTCTTGAGTACAACAGACATACATGTACAGCTAAAGGCATTTTACATATGCATTCACACACACAGAGCACTTGGAAATGGGACCATCATGTGCACACTTGTGTCTCTTACATAGCTCTAATCCACTGTTTCTTAATGGCCACATAATAGTCCATGGTGTGCTATGCCACACATTTCTAACAATGCCACTTGTATGAGAACATTTTGTCTCTAGGTCAATATTGTGATCAGTATCTTTGCAAGTATCCTCATTACCAGAGCTTCAATGGAATAGAACCCTAGACATGAGATTATGGAATGAAGGAGTATTTTAAATTTTACTAAATGCTACTGCTTTCCAAAAAAAATCTGTGATAATTCACATTTCCATCCACAACACACAACAAGACCTGTATCGTGACCAACTGTGGCAGTGTTCGTCTTCTAAATATTTGTCCATCTACTATTTATAAATGACAGCCCCTTCTTTCATTTTATCTAAATATTTGTCCATCTACTATTTATAAATGACAGCCCCTTCTTTCATTTTATCTCTCTTTGCTTTTTTTTTTTTTAAGAATAATTTCTTTGATTTTCCTGTACTTTATTATTTTTTTTATATTTATTTATTTATACAAGAACTGGGGTACAGGTCAGAGGTTCAGGAGGTTGAAAGGATTCACCAGAGACAGAGCAGGGAGCAGAATAGGCAGATTGACTGAAATACACTGCTGAGGGGAGCAGCGGGCAAGGCAGGAGAGGTCTGCTGCACCATGTGGGTTGCTCCCTGGCCGGCTGGGAATCGACCCACGCTGCAGAGGCTGTGGGCAGCTTCACAGCGCAGCGCTCAACCTGCTGCGCCACTGGGGAGGCCCTTATCTCTCTTTGCTTTTCGGTAAATTTTAGCACCTTCTGGCTGTGTTTAGAATTGTTCAGTACGAGATGTTTATTTATGGACAGTGACCCTCTTTATACAGGGCTTATATAGGGTTTTATTAATAATTTGTGAGAGTTTTTTGTTATAAACTTATTAACCTTCTGTCTTTTATGCTGAAGATAAATATAATATATATATATTATATATTTTTTTAACTTCTATTGTTTATTTCTTAATCTTGCTTATGGTATCTCTTGCCACATTAAGATTTTAAATTTTTATGTTCTCAAATACCTCGCTCTTCTCTTTTACAGCTTCTGGGTTTCCAGTCTTGCTTAAGAAGATGACCCCTACCCTCAGATTGTATCTGTAGTCTCCTAGATTCTCTTTCAGGATTTGTATGGTTATAATTTTCCTCTTTAAGGCTTTATCTATCATATTCTACATATTTAATAATCTTTAAGACAGAAAAGACAAAAAGGATGATGACCTACGCGTCACTTACTTTCATCTCATCTTATGTGGTGACTGAGTTGACTCGCGAGGCCTTGGGAACCCCCTCTCACCTGCCCCCTGCTTCCCTTTCAGGTGCTGTTGGCTGATGAGGGCATTGCCCCTCTGGCTGCCACAGAACCAGTGAAAGAGGAGAAACTCCTGCTTGGAGAAGGGCTGTCTTCTCTGCTTCCAGTTCAGTCCATCAAGGAGGAAGAAATCCAACCCGGGGAAGAAGTGCCTCACGCAGGGAGACCCATCAAAGTGGAGAGCCCGCCCCTGGAAGAGTGGCCCTCGCCCTGCCCTTCGGTCAAGGAGGAATTGTCTCGCTCCTGGGAGGATTCGTCCCACTCTCCCACTCCCAGGCCCAAGAAGACCTACTGTGGGCTCAGGTCCCCCACCCGCTGTGTCTCTGAAATGCTCGTCATCAAGCGAAGGCAGAAGAGGGAGATGAGCCGGTCTCGAAGGAAACAGCATCTCCAGCCTCCCTGTCTGGATGAGCCTGAGCTGCTCTTCTCCGAGGGCCCCGAGACCTCCCGGCCAGCCACAGAGCTCGCTCGTGCCGCAGCATCCTCTGAGTCTGCCTGTCAGCCTGGCTACTCTCAGGTGGAGGGAGAACCTTTTAAGACACCCATAAAGGAGACACTGCCCATCTCCTCCACCCCCAGCAAATCTGTCCTCCCCAGGACCCCTGAATCCTGGAGGCTCACACCCCCAACCAAAGTAGGGGGGCTAGATTTCAGTCCAGTACGAACCCCCCATGGTGCCTTTGGTCCCCTGCCTGACTCCCTGGGGCTGACAGATCTCAGCACCACCCCACTGAAAAGCATCCCCCTCTTTGACTCACCCCGAGAGCTCCTCAATTCCGAGCCCTTTGACCTCACTTCTGACCCCTTCAGCAGTTGTTCCCCGTCAAATATGGAGGTCCCCAAGCCAGACTCCCCTGAACCACAGGTTACTAGCCTTTTAGCCAACCGTTCTCTGACAGAAGGCCTGGTTCTGGACACAATGAACGACAGCCTCAGCAAGATTCTGCTGGACATCAGCTTCCCTGGCCTGGAGGAGGACCTGCTGGGCCCTGACAACATCAACTGGGCCCAGTTCATTCCCGAGCTGCGGTAGAGACACGGCCTTCCCCTTGCTGCTCAAGCTGTCCACTCTCTGGGGGTTCATGTCACTGGGTAGTCCAGGCCCTCTGAGAACAGCAGGCAGAGACCGTCCGCTCCTCCAGCCCCACCTTGCCTGTTATGCCGAGACAGACGTCACACCACCGCTGCCACCGGGCCTCGGAGAGCTGCGAGGCCCTGGGAACCAGTCTCTTCCACCTTATGCCTCCTGAGAGATTCTGATTCCCCACTGCCCCTTCTAGGGTGGGAAGAGCAAAAACAAGGGTGAAGAGAAATTAGAAAACTCCCCAGTCTACGGCCATACCACCCTGAACGCGCCCGATCTCCTCTGATCTTGGAAGCTAAGCAGGGTTGGGCCTGGTTAGTACTTGGACGGGAGAAAAATCCCCAAACTTTGCATTCTCCGCCCAGCAGTCTCTCACCTTCCCTGTAAATAGTGTATATTCTCCAAATTATCCTCTAATTATAAATGTAAGCTTATTTCCTTAGATCATTATCTAGAGACTGCCAGCGGTGGGTAGGATGACAAGGTTTCAGTTGCTTCTGTTCCTTGTCTTTCGTTCCTAGGGAGGCAAGGAACTGCAGTGCACGGTTTCTTCCAGGCTCAAGGTTCCTGGCTCGAGGATTTTTACTATAGGCACCCAGCCAAGGGCATCTGCTTGCCAGAGCCCTTCCCTCCACCAGCCCACATTTCCAAGTCAGCTTTCCTACAAGAAGAAATCCTGGTATAGAAAGGTCTTTTGTAGTGGGTCAGGAGTTGAATCGGGGTGGGGGAATGGGCTCATCTGAAGAAAGGAATGTGGGTGCCCAGATGTGCACCCATGAGATGTTTCTCTGATAATGTCCCTAATCATGCCAGAGAGACCAGCATTGATAAGAACCTGGCCAGAAGCTCGAGAAGGCTAAAAGGACCCTGACCTGCCTGGCTTCCTTAGCTTGCATCTCAGCTTTGCAAAAAGCCACCCTAGGCCCCAGCTGACCGCATGCATGTGAGCCAGCTAACAACACTACTGTAACTACCTGCTCAATAAAATCCAGGGTGGAAATGCTGGTCTTTGTGTTGGTATCTGGTCCTCAAGGCAGAAGGAAGGGTTGGAAAAGAAAGTGGGTGATGAAGGTAGCAGTCACAGAAGAGGCAAGGTCTAAAGCTACATGAAGCAGCCCTAGAAGGAGAATGCAAATGACTTGAGTGTGGGCCACCTGCCCAAGCTCCACACAGGCACGCATCCTTTCTGACACAGAAGCCAGCGGTTTTCCCAATGCTGGGGCTGTACAATTGGTCTCTATAGAGCCTATGGGCCTGCTGGTTAATTGAAGCCTTTTACAGCTCCCCAATGATGGTAAGACCTACAGAGCAGAAAACCTCCCCCGATCCCCGCCACATTAAGTGCTTCACGAGCACCCCTACTGCCAAACCAAGATCTGGATGCCAGCCTGCCCTGCTTTTCTCCTCCCAGCCCTCCTAGGCAAGCACCTTCCCAGAAGCAGCTCCTGTTACCATCTATTGCAGTCAGAATTTGAGTCCTATACCCTGCGTGTCTCACCTGGAAGGCATGTGGGAGCAAGGAGCCCAAGGGACTGACAGGTCTCCCAGGGAGGTCTAAGGGCTTCCTTGCCTGCGTCACTACCCAGGAAGCATCACCATAGCAACCCCAGCAGCAAACAATGCTGCCTGGAAAGCCTTCACCACAAAGCTGTCCCTCCTGGCAAACAGACCCAGGAAGCAGGATGGCCAGTAACCTACTAAGAACACCCCGAGGATGGAGTAGCCCATCCCAGGACAGAAAACCCTTCCTGCAGGTAGGGGGTGGAGTCTCATCTCCTAAAGTACCTTTTTGCCCATGCTGGGCTGGGGGCTGTCCCCTGGGTGGGCAGCAGTCCTCCTGGCCACTGTCTTCCTCTCAGGTCTGTGATACTGTGAACATGGCGAGGAGAGGCCTAGTTAGAACCACATCTCCCAGGCCCACCCCAATGGTCTTGCAGGAATGACTTAGGGGGCGGGTCCAAGAAACAGGTGGGAGCTGGGAATCAGAAAAGTCCTAGGGGCGAGAGGAGGGAAAGGCAGACAAGCCTTTCCAGACAAGACAGGCTCTGCTGCTCTCACTGCCTTGCGGGAGTGACCCCCACTAGTCTCGCTTTTGGCATCTCTGACATGGGGACCGTAATAATACTCGCTCACATGGGCTTCAGGGTTCACTGACACCTGGATAGGTAGCAAATACTGGCTACTGTTTACTGCATAGGGATGGGGTGCTAGAAAGGGAAGCCACCAACATTCTAGATGCTTTCTTATATTTTAACAAGAGGTGAGGGGAACACACCAGTGACAGAAAGGAGCCATAAGACTTTCCTTCTATACTCTGCTCAGGAAGGGGCCTCTCCCCTCCCACCTTCCTTAGCCTGCTGTGCCTGTAAGGAACATGGGGGCACCAGAATGGGCAGGAGGGAGGAGGGTGGGAAATCAAAACCAATCCATGATTGATGGAAAGAGAAGAAAAGCCGAGAAACCCATGAGGATAGTAGAGTAGCCATAACTTCTGGGGCAGGACAGGAACGGGAGGGATCCCCTGCCAGGCACCAGTGTTGGCGGGAGACCCTTGCATCAGGAGAGGCTGGCAGCATGTTCTCTGCCTGCTCCCAGGAAGGAGAGGCAGAATGCTGTGCCCCAGGTTCCTTTTGTCTCTCCCCCAGATGGTCCATTCCCATGAGTCCCAGCCGACCAACCAAACGTGGGCTCAGCGTGAGTTCCTGCTCCCCAATGAATCCTGGGAGCTGCCTGGCTTCACCACGCAACGCTACCACCATTTGGCCCTGAAGCCACCACCCCGCACAAAAACTAAGTCCAAGGTGCATCAGCAAGTCCTCTCCCCTTGCAAGGACGCAAGCCAGCACACCTGGGGCTTCCACACGTGGCTCGACGTGGGGCGAATGCCCCCCACCTTTCCCACCCGGCCGGACGAGCCCTATGATAGCAATGTCTGGCGCTGGCTGACAGACCCCAACGCCCATCGGCGCCTCCCAGCAGAACCTCCCGTCCCCCCTCCCTCCCTGCTGGGCCCAAATAGCTTTCTGGCCTTCATCCACTCTACTCCTATCTTCTTGGACGTGAATAGGAAGAAGCAGGTCATTTGTAAGACCATGAAGGAGCTGAGGGAGGTGGAGAAACTCAAGCTGAGGAGTGAAGCAAGGGCACCCCCCCTCGATATCAATGGCAACATCCTGCCCCCAAAGAACTTCAAGAAGTAAGAGGAACCCCTTCCTTAGGGAGCTCACCCAACCTACCCATGTTTGGCTGGCCCCTCCCCCTCCCCGATTTCTCTTTAGGATGGCCGCCCTTCCCACCTCTGGGTCATCTGAAACCAAACTCTTTTTCCGTAAGGAGCTTGAGGGAAGGGATGGAGACAAGGTGAGGACAGGCAGGCAGGGCTTCCTTAGAGAACTGCACTTGTATGTGTACAACTGGACTTACCGCCTGCTGGGTGATGGGAAGACAGAAAGGGCATCAATCCCTGAGCTCAAGTTGCTCACGAGAGGCCCTGCATTCATGCATGCGTGACAAGACAGTTGTCAGTGCAAAAGCACACGCGCCAAGTGCCCAGAGACTGGGCTGAAGGATGTCGACTGTTAGTGGAAATCGCTAAGACCTGGAGGCAGAGGCTTGGGTTAAAGTCCAGACGGTTTTATTTGGACAAATTGCATAGTTTTTCCAGACTCACTTCCATCATTGATAAAATGGGGGTGGTAAATATCATGCCTGCCTCAACGGGTAAAGATAAAGTGGATTCACGAACAGATGAAAGCATTACCTGCACAAAAAAATAGACACAATGACAGAAATCCAGAAGAGGGAGGGAATGCTGTGAGCTGGAGCATTCTCCCAGGATGGCTACATGAGAAAACTGGATGAAGGCTGGAAGGAGGAAAGGTCTCAGGCAGTGCTGACTGAAGGGGAAGAGGCAGGACTGGGAAAGGAACTGAGAACCCACAGGTCCCCCTCCCTGCCCAGCAGGAACCCCCAGGTATCTCCACACCCTTTGCAAACCAGGCACTGGGCATGAAAGGTAGAATGTCTCAAACTCCAATTCCAAAGACATATTAGCAGGAACACTGAGGAGTTGGAGAGGGAAGCTGTGGAGATTTTTTTTTTTTTAAGATTTATTTATGCATGCATGCAAGAACTAGGGCACAGGCCAGAAGGGTGGGGGGTGAGAGGATTCACTAGAGATAAAACAGGGAGCAGAACAGGCAGATCAACTGAAATACACTGCTGAGGGGAGCAGCAGGCGAGACAGGAGAGGTCTGCTGCGCCATGTGGGTAGCTCCCTGGCCGGGGATTGAACTCGTGCTACAGTGGCTGCGGATACCTTCATAGGTTGCGTCCTAACCCTTTGTGCCACCAGGGAGGCCCGTGTGGAGATTTTTAATCTTTAAAATATGTATACCAACAGCTGGTGATTGTGAGAGATTATCCAGGACCTCGGCTTCTCTCTGCTGGCCTTGCATGAAGGTGATTGACTGCTAATATGTGCAAACGCTGGGCATACAAAGGTGAATAAGACTTAGATCATGCCTCAAAAAAAAAAGTCAGTTGAATGTGTTGGATGTTGTTCTAATCACTTTAACTGTATTATTTAATCTTTCTACTGCAATCTGATTAGAGACGATTATCATCAAACATTTCACAGACGGGGCATCTGAAATACAAACAGGTCAAGGATCTTGCCCAAATTCTCATGGCCACTCAGTGGCAGAGCTGAGATTTGAACCCAGGGAGTGAAGCTTCAGAGCTGCCTTCTTAACCACTATGCTCTACTTCCCCTCTTTTACAACTAGACATGTCCACAGCTATTTTTAATATAATATGATGTTCTAGAAAGGAAGTATAAGAAAAATGCAATTATAAAAAGAGCTTAGCACAGTACTTGGCATACAGTAAAACATGAAGGGGTGGAGACCAAAGCAGGAACCTCTGGAGTCAAGAAGACCTTCAGATTCAGCCGGCTCCACCACACACTTCCTCTACAACCATGACTTTCTGAAAATCATCTGGGCCTCACTTTCCTCAAGTATGCATTGGTTCTGTGCCTGTTACTTTGCAGGGTAGTTAGATGATGAGAAGGCAAGGAGCTTGGCTTAGCGAGAGGGCCCTATGAACTGTTGCTATGAGGACGGGGTCTCCATGGGAGTAGGATCCTCCTTTGACTTGTTTGCTACTGTAAGTCCCTTCCCTGGAGCCAGGAGGGAATAAGGCTTGCTACTCACGGAGCAGGTGGTGTTTGAGCTGGACCTTGAAGGATGCATAGACGTTCACCAGCTGGGAACAAGGAAGAGTAGCAAGAAGAAAGGCCAGTTGGGTTCTGATGAGCAGCTCTCTGAAGGGCTGAAAGCAATTGTTCAAATGACTCTAAATGAGTTAGAGAGCAGGTTCTGAGCATGAGAGACTCAGAGGACTTCAGACAGGTAAGAAAATGTCTAAGCTTCAAGATGCTCATCATCTTGCTGAGGAAAAGAACATTTATGTACAAACCCTGCCATTCTCAGTTCCGGTAGTAGTAGAAACACCAGGGTCTCTCTTTAAAAATGTTGGAAAAAGAGTTGAGATTTTGAGCTCCACCTGGGAGAATCTAACTTAATTGACCCAGGGGACAACCTGGGCAACAGGTATTTTTACAGAGCTCCCCAGGGTGATTCCAATGTGCAGCCAAGCCTGAGAACCTCTGTTGTCAACAAAAAACAGCCAAAGGGCTGTCTGTTGAAACAGATGCCAAGGAGTCAAACCAGAGGGTTTTTGCCTCCATACCGCCATGGTTTAAAAAGTCAATTTCCTACTGTTGAATCTAATACTACAGGCTGTAGAAGAGGGAACCAGCAGCCCAGGTGGCAGGTGGCAGCAGGTAGGAGCGGGAGGGGCTCCTGGACACCACCGCATTCACTGGCGATGAGAAGGAGCTTTTGTACCGAATTCACTCTTGGACGCACAGATGCTGCATTGGTGAAGGAGGTGGGCTTAAAGAAGTTAGGGTCTGGATAATGGTATTTATTAGATGCCATACGCCAAAAGGATGAAAGACTGGCCATCTCAACGACTTCACTTCATCAACCTAATGCCAACATACACAGAGGGTACAGACCACTTAGCATAGAGCAGGATCCAATGAAGAGGAGCTGGGGAAAGCCCCCCCGCCCTCCAACAGCCTGAGGGCTCCTAACCTGTGGAAGGCAGCACTACATTTTCCCTCTCACCCTTCTGCCCTGCCTGGGTCTCTCCTTTGACCTCTCTCTCTGTTTTCTCCACGCCCTTTTCCCCAACAGGTACCAGCACTTTTCAGCTGGGGGAAGGTTCGAACCCCGTGGCCTCCAGCTCATGCCCAACCCACTTCCCAATGATTTAGCCAAGGGTTGGCCCTGCCCGAACCCTCTGCCTCATTACCAGGAGAAGGTGCAAAAGCTAGCCCTCTTGCCCAGCGCGCCCCTGAGCCGGGACCTTGTGAACAATTACCAAAGCCTGCTACAGGATCGGGTTGCCCTGCCCCTCTACTCTCTCTCCAAGGCAAAATTTTTCATAAGGATGAGCAAGAGAAGACCTGGATACACGTAGAAGAGCCTCCAGGCGGGTAGGGAGCACAGTGGGCACAGAGACCTCAGGCTCCTCTGTGCTCCTCCAAGGCCTGCCCCTTCAGCAAGAAGATTTGGGGTGGCTAAAAGATGCGAGGCAGAACAGAGCCTCACCATGCCCCCAACCTCCAGCCACTTCTGTACCCCAGGCTCCTGGAGACATTCCTGAAACTAAATTGTTATGTCTTCCTCGGAGGATTCTCATAACAGGTGGGGAGACTGGGGGATGAGGTAGGGAGAGTTGGGAGAGTGAGGTGTCTAGTTCCCAGAGACAAAATGAGGAGTAGGGGGGAAGAAGGGGTATGTGGCTGGGGGTGGGGAGGGGAAAGAGGCCCTGTAAGAAATGTGGATAATTAGAAATTACCTCCATGTCCGTAACCCAATGCAAAGGATCAGGGGTACAAGCAGCTTCACAAGCTGTAATAGCCTTTGTTCCACCTCTCCCTGGGTCATTTGATGTCTAGACAAAGACTGGAACTGCAACTCTGTTGGATGGCAGATCCCCACATAGGGTTTGGGGGAGCAGTGGTCAGGGCAGGGCCAGGAGGATGGCAAATCAGGTCACAGGAAGGCTGACCAGGCCTCAGCAGAGGGACAAGAGTAGACCAAAGTAGAGGTTCAAGGTACAAATCAGAACTCTCTCCCCAGAGACTGAGCCTGTGCTGCCATTGACCCCAGATATCTTGGCTTTTGGGATGGGGTGGGGGAGAGGCTGCAGAGACAAGCAGCTAAAGTAGAGGCAGGTGAAGCACATTGGTCAGAAAGCTGCTGACCCCTCTGGAGAGGAGATGGGGTGGAGGAGGGCCTGGAAGAGGCCTGATTGGGAGTGGTGGAGGCCTGATTGGGTGGACAGGGGGCCACCTCACCTCCTCCTACCCCCGTCTCACACTGCCAAGTTGGTGATCTTCCCCTACTGGGCTTCTCTTGGCCTTCTGCCCCTGCCCTCTGTACCCACTCTTATCAAGCCTGCAGGCACCTGGGCATCAAGACCCCACCAGGGTTCATTTAACCACTAAGCAGCCATGTTACCCTTACACAAGTCATCGTGCCCTCAGGCATTCAGTTCTCTCATATTCAAACAGAATAAACAAAGTAAGCCCAGCACCCACAAAGTGTCTGGCATGTGTCAGTCCTCCATAAATGAAGCTGCCAACTGTTATTCATAGAATAAAAATAATGAATTGATGGAATATTATTCAGTCATGATAAGGAATGAAGTAGTGATTCATGCTCCCACAGGGATGAACCTTGAACACAAAATGCTGAGCGAAAGAAGCCAGACATATATGATTCCACTTATATGAAATGTCTAGAATAGGCAGATCCACAGAGGTGCAAAATGCATTGGTGGTTGCCAGGTGCAGGGACAGGGAGAGTGGGGCCTGACAGCTTAAAGGAGGTGAGGTTTTGCTTGGTGTGATGAAAATATTTTGGAGCTAGATAGAAAGGGGTGGGGTGAAACATCATGAATGAATGAAATGCCACTGGATTGTGTAGTTTAAAGTGGTAAATTTTCTGTTATGTGAATTTTCTCTCCATTAAAAAAAATCATAATAGTCATAAGTAGAGTATTTCCAAATTTCCTTCCAGTTCCAAATCTACAATTCTGTTAAATAGTCTTCCTCGACACCTCTCCCCGTATCTGTGGGGGTATGTGTGTGGTAGCCGGGGAAGGGTAGGGGAGACAGAGCAAAAGGACAAATGGGCATTTCCTGAGTGTGGGGGAGGGGTGCCAGGGCTCTGGGTATGGCCTCTTCTTTCCACTGTGGATTAAGGGTGGCTGGAAAGCAGGAGGTCCCTTTACCTAGAACTGTGGCTCGTCAGAGGTGGGCAACCCATTAGGAAACAAGTTGTGTCTCCCCAGTGTTGTTGTTTTTTTTTTAAAGATTTATTTATTTTTTTACTTACACAATAGCTGGGGTACAGGCCAGAGGCACGGGAGGGTAAGAGGATTCACCAGAGACAGAGTGGGGAGCAGAACAGGCAGACAGACCGAAAGCACTGCTGAGGGGAGCAGCTGGCAAGACAGGAGAGGTCTGCTGCGCCATGTGGGTAGCTCCCTGGCCGGCCAGGAATCGAACCCGCGCTGCAGAGACTGCAGACAGCTTCACAGCGCTGCGCTCAACCCGCTATGCCACCGGGGAGGCCCATCCTCAGTGTTTCTATGGGTAAACCAAGACCCCTGGAGGGGCTTTGTTGTGCCAGGCCAAAAATTCAGGCCATCTCCCCACCCCCCTTGCAGGTAGAATGGGAGGTACTAGCTGAGAGCTCTGCCAGGACCCATGTTGTCATCAGTTTCTCTACTGCCATGAAGCCCAGGTTGGGGTGCGGCAGCGGGGAGGAAGGTCAATGGGATTCTTCAGAGAAAGTCTCCTGCTCTCTGGCCTAGAGTGAGGGGCGAGCAGAGAGGCAAGTTGCACTTACACAGACCCCTGCCTGGCAGAACCAGACCACAGAGGCTGCTAGCCTCGCTACAGGAGTCCCACCTTCCTGCTCTGCCGTCTGGAGAGCCCCCTCTTCTCTGCTGGCAGGGGACCTAGCGGCTCCTCTTGTCCTCTGGCCACCAGAGATTCGGGAGTGAGTCTCCTGCAATTCCTGAATCCAGCAGACAAGAAACTGTATGTGGGACAAGACAGTGACCGCCTGCGTCTGGAGACTCTTCTAAGGCGACGCCCTCGCGCAGGCTGTCAGCATGAGCACCCCCATGCTCTCACACACACTGATGAACATGGGGTTCTCAGAAAGCCTTTGGTGGGAGAAATGGGGACCCCTGTCACCTGGACCTGCTATATAGTATTCCACCATGTGACTATACCACATTTAGGAAATTTACGTTATTTTCCCCCTCTGAAGCATTTATATTAATGTGCATTCCATCAGCAAGGTATGGGGACAGGTGTCACTTCCTCTCCAAATCAGGGTATCAGACTTTTTAAAGCCTTGGTCATCTGTCATCAGATTTTTCTTTCTAGCCTTTCATCTTCACCATCATTAAGATGCATTGATAAAGCACCTGCTTCTGTGTGTTGAACATTCTCAGACTGAGTACCCCACCTGAGCCCTGCTCCCTAAGGGTGCAGTCTGATCCAGACACCATGATTACTAAGAGGGGATCTGAGAGGGAGGCAAAGATAGACACCCTCCTTCCACAGACCCAGAACATGGGGTTCTAGAAGACCTGTGCTCTGTCTAAGACCCCCTGCTTCTTGGACACTGATGAATGTCACTGCAAGAGGCCTTTGGTCACTTCTGGGCCCACACCTCCGCTTCCACAGGCACCCTCTCCCTAAGCCCAGTCTTCATCTCAGGAGCTGGGTTGCTGGAGTAGTTCCTGAGTTGCTGGGTCTGAGGAATGGTGGGGGGTTGGTCGGTGAGTGCTGGAAGCTGTGGAGGCAGCCCCCCCCCCCAACTCCCCGCCTCCACACACACAGGGAAGATAGAGGGCCAGTCACATTGCCAGTGATGAACTTCAGTTTTCCTCTGATGGTCTGCCAAGGTTGCCCATCTAATCACCATACCCCCCAAAACCCCACTGCTGCTCCCTGAGAAGGCAAATCAGAGCCAGGATCACCTTCCCCAGCTGCCTCAAACTCACCTCCCACTCTCCCTAGGAACGCCTGGCTTATCATTTCTGCCCATTGCTGACTCACTTGCTCCAAGTCCTTTGTCTTTGAGCTTCTCCTCCGCCCGAGTCCTCTCCTCAGTCGTGCTGTCCACTGAGTCACATACATTTATTCTGTGACTATTCACATAGTTGCCTGTGTCATGTTAGGAGCAAGTCAACACGCTCTCGGTGGGCCCCGGCACAGAACTTCACAAATGCCCCTGTGCTCACGCTGCTGCTCTGGTCATGATCCAAGGTCAAGCTTTTTTTTTTTTTTTTAAAGATTTGTTTATTTATGCTTACAAGAGCTGGGGTACAAGCCAGAGATGCATGTGGGGGGTGAGAGGATTCACCAGAGACAGAGTGGGGAACAGAACAGGCAGACTGACCGAAGTACACTACTGAGGGGAGCAGCAGGTGAGACAGGAGAGGTCTGACTCACCATGTGGGTTCTCCCTGGCTGGCCAGGGATTGAACTCGTGCTGCAGAGGCTGCAGATTGCTTCATAGTGTGGTGCTTAACCCTTGCACCACCAGGGAGGCCCCCCCAAGGTCAAGCTTTGCTATGCAATTTCCCTTAGACCACCATCACCTTCACAGGGTACATTGACATGCTTCCTGCAAAATAGTTGGTGACATCTTTAGCACTAAAATCACTAGAAAGTGGGGGTGATACCCGGGGTGCCAGGAGAGGCCCAGAGTTTAAGCAAAGAGGAAGAAAAAACTGCAGGGAAATAGAAGTAGGAGAGAAAGCAGGTAAACAAAAGGGGGAGGAAGAGAAATGCTGAAACCAGTGAAAGGTGAAATGGCTGTCTCTGCTAGAACTCAGAGGCCCAGATATCAGATAGATTTTCTGAGGGCACCCGCAGGATCAAGGTGGGGGTACAGAGCCCTAGGGATGAGAGGGACTGGCATATATGCCGCATATGTACAAGGGAAGAATAAAGAGGGGTCTGAGTGACTGCCGATGGCATCAGCTGGATTCTGCAACTAAAAATATCAGGTGAGGTGCTCAACTGGCTATTCTAGTGTCTTGTCCCCTGAGTGGTCGGGATAGGAATGTTATATTTCTCCTGGATCCTTTGGAGTCTTGCCTAACAATCCATCCATAAATTTTGTATAACAGAGAGAAGTGGGGAGAAAACGTACCCTGCCCTTATAAAGCCTAGGATCTAGTAAGAAGATGGACAAATACGCCAGTATAACACAGTGTGAGAAATAGAGGAAGAGATATTTGATCTAATGGGACTATGAGAACAAAGACGAGTGGCATTTAAGTTCAAGAACATGTGTGTATACAGTTCCCAAATGACAGTAAACATTTACTCAGCACTTGCTATGTGTCAGGAAATGTCTTGAAAGCTTTTCGTGAATCAACCTATTAATTCTCACGACACAGTGAGCTAGGTCCCAATATGACCTTCATTTTAGAGATGAATAGAGTCAGAGTGAGTTTTTGACTATTTTGTATTCTGCCATTCATTTTTCCCCCCAAAGATTTATTTATTTATGAATAAATAAAGAACTGGCATGCAGGCCAGAGGTGCAGGAAGGTAAGAGGATTCACCAGAGACAGAGAGGGGAGCAGAACAGGCAGATTGACTGAAAATCACTGCTGAGGGGAGCAGCGGGAGAGACAGGAAAGGTCTGCTGCACCATGTGGGTAGCTCCCTGGCAGGCCGGGGATGGAATTCATGCTGCAGAGGCTTCTGGATAACTTCATAGTGCTGTGCTTAACCCCTCGCGCCACTAGGGAGGCCCCCGCCTTTCATTTTAACTTCATGGCAACTCTACAAATTACATATTATTTTAACTTTATAGATAAGGAAATAGATCCCAATGGATTAAGCACTTCACCCAAAGTCCACCAGTTAGTAATGACCGAGTTGAGAATACTTGACCAAGCAGATCTGAGTTCAAGTCTGTGCTTAGTCTGCTTTCATGCATACAGACAAACACTGGACCTTTTTGTGCCTTGGGTTTACCATCCATAAAACAGAAGAAAGTCATCCTCATGTCAAACATAAAGGTCTGATATTTGAAAGACCTATTCTTTTGGGGTAGAGGTTGGGAGTGATAAATTTCAAAACTGGCACAGGGTTTCCCGGACCCGTGTTGGGAAGGAAAATGATGGAAAATAGTTTCATTCCTGTCTTCAGAGATCTAACAGGGCCAGAGGAGAAAGCCTGAAATAGAACTGGCTGCCCTTAACCTTGCAGGGACCTCAGGGAGCTGTTTATCTAGCTCTGAATACCCATCGATGAAGAATATTCTGGGAATTTCCTTATGTGGCAGGGTATTTGACTGGATGACTTCACTGGGTCAAGTGAGTTCTCCTTCCCTTCCCTACCAGCAGAGATAAGGATTGGCACTATTTAAAGTGCCAATTTAAAGAATTTCCTGAGTGTCTCAGGGGGTGCTGGTGCTCTGGGAATGGCCCTTTCTTCCCACTGTGGATTAGAAATGATGGTGGAAAGTATAATGTCCCTCTACCTAGGATCCTAACATATCCAAGGTGCACAGGCCAATAGAGAATAAGTTAACTCCCCTTAGTGTTTCCATTTAAAGGCATGAAAGTTTATCATAAGGAAGGTGGGAACGAGCTAAGCTCCATCTCGGCTGAAATTTGGACAAGAGGGTAGGGATTCTGCATATAGCTACAGGGATTTAGGCTAGACATAAAGAAGGACTTCCTGACATACTTGAGAGATATTGGAGAAGACTAGATCAGTTCAGAGGAAATGAGCAATGAGTCTGTTTAGACCAGTGTGTCCAACAGAAATATAATGGAGTCATATATATAACTTTGAGATATTTAGTTGCCACATTAAAAAAGTAACAAGAGACCGTTGAAGTCGATTTTTCTAATGCATTTTATTAAATAAGTCCAAAATAGTCTCAATACAAAATCAATCAGTCTAAAAACAATTCATATTTCCCTGTTTTTCATATAATTTTCAAAATCCAGTGTGTATTTCGTGCTCACAGAGTATCTCAATTCAGACTAGCTCAAATGCTCAATAACCATATGTGGATAGTAGCTACCATATTGTCAGCACAAGGTCTAGAATTGCTCATGATTTTCTGACACCCAATGACAAATACAAGGTATAGCCTGTTTTTGTCTAAAGAAAGTTCTTTAGAAGACCTGAGGGCCTCTAAAGAAAAGGTCAAGAAAATCTTACCTTTTTGAGTCCTTCTTAGCCTTCATCATCACTAGAAATGAAAAGACTCACTGCCATGCACCCACTCAGCAGCGATCTGTACTTCTTTCAGTAGGGACACCTCTAACTCCCCAAGGCCTGTCAGATTAAGACTTTGGTAGGGGGCCTCCCTGGTAGTGCAAGGGGTTAAGCACAGCAATATGAAGCTATCTGCAGCCACTGCAGCATGAGTTCGATCCTCGACCAGGGAGGTGACCCACATGGTGCAGAGACCTCTCCTGGTTCACCTGCTGCTCCCCTCAGCAGTGTATTTCAGTCAGTCTGCCTGTTCTGTTCCCCACTCTATCTCTGGTGAATCCTCTCACCCCCTGCACCTCTGGCCTATACTCCAGTTTTTGTATGCATAAATAAACAAATCTTAAAAAAAAAAAAAAAAGATACTGAAGAATTCCACACCAAGGAATGAATTTCTAAGAAGCCTTTCAGCATTGCAGCCCACCCAGCCTCTTACTGTGCAGGTCCCTCACTGGCCTGTCACTGAGTACAGTTAGTCCTACAAAACAACCATAGGAACCCAGCACAAAATGTCAGCTGATACTCTTCCACCTCCATCTCAGGCAGATGCATGGTAGTAATAGAAGTTAAGGCATAGAGTGAGCTGGAATATTCCACTAAAACCAAATCTAAATGAAGCCAGGGTTTGCACAGACAGTTTGATAAATGGAATCATGCTGCAGTTTGGTTTTCATTTAATTTTAGTCTCCATCAGTATTCTCCTTTTAGCATAATGGAAACTGAGCAGGAATTGGGAGATAGAACATAACAGTTTGATTTCTGATGCTGCTATAGGGTAAGTGAATCTTGGGAGCTTTCTAAGTCTCAGTGCCTAGTTTCTTGGTGCTGCCATCATAAAGTACCACCTACTGGGTGGCTTAAACAACAGAACTTTATTGTCTCGGAGTTCTAGAGGTTAAAAGCCCAAAATTAAGAGGTTAAAAGCCCTTGTCAGTTCCTTCCAAGGGCCAAGGAAGGATCTTTTCTATGACTCGCCTAGCTCCTGCTGGTTTGTTGGCCATCTTTGGCACTCCTTGACTTATAGATACATCCTCTCATTCTCATGTCATTCTTCCTGCATGCATCTCTGTGTCCAAATCCTTTCTTCAATAAGCACACATAATTAGGTTCCACCCTACCAACCTCATCATAATTTGGTTGTCTTTATAAAGATCTCTCCAAACAAGGCCACCTTCTGAGGGCATAAAGTGCTAGGCGCTTAACACATGTATCTGGAGGGACACAATTCAACCCATAATTCTTAGTTAACTTCCTCATCTGTAAATGGAGATCATAATATAATTCATTCTCATATAATGATAGTGCCTACAAGGGGCTTGGTCCATAGAAGACCAGTGGCTATCTGGTTTATCTGAATATGCATGTGCCTTAGTGGTGTCTGGATCAGACGGCACCTCTAGGGAGCAGGGCTCAGGTGGGGTACTCAGTCTGAATGTTCAACACACAGAAGCAGGTGCTTTATCAATGCATCTTAATGATGGTGAAGATAAAAAGCTAGAAAGAAAAATCTGATGACAGATGACCAGGGCTATAAAAAGTCTGATACCCTGATTTGGAGAGGAAGTGACACCTGAGGAACCCCATACCTTGCTGATGGAATGCACATTAATATAAATGCTTCAGAGGGGGAAAATAACCTAAATTTCCTAAATGTGGTATAGTCACCTGGTGGAATACTACATAGCAGTTAAGGTGTATGAATTAAAGCTATGCATATCCTGGGGATTGATCTCACTAATAAAATACTAAGCAAAAAGTAAGATGCAGAAGAATATATAAAATGTATCAGACAAAAGTGAGTAACATATTGCCTAGGACTCTAGAAATGTACACTCATAGAGAATATAAACAGAAGTACAGAATGACAAACAAATTCAGAAGGGGGTGTTATCTGGGGAGAAAGAGAGTATATAGGGAGCTTCAGCTATATTTGTAACAGTTTATTTTTTTAACTAGGTGGTTAAGTCAAGGGTATTGGTTATTCTTTATAACTTTCTGTATGCTTGGATTATACATTTTTTAAAGATTTATTTATGCATACAAGAGCTGGGGTGTAGGCCAGAGGTATAGGAGGGTGAGAGGATTCACCAGAGATAAAGTGGGGAACAGAGCAGGCAGATCAACTGAAATACACTGCTAAGGGGAGCAGCGGGCGAGACAGGAGAGGTCTGTTGCGCCATGTGGGTCACCTCCCTGGCCGGGTAACGAACTCGTGCTGCAGTGGCTGCAGACAGCTTCATAGTGCTGAGGCTTAACCCTTTGTGCCACCAGGGATGGCCCCTATACAATTTTTTTTCAGTCAGCCAGGACTCAGGAAGGCTTATATAAAACTGGGCCCTACTTGGAAGATTCAGAGTTGCTCTTTCCACCCCCTGGGACTCAGAACCCAGAGTAAACTCCTGAAGATTCATCTAACATCGGTCACACTGACAGGCAGAGACCCAGAAAGGTGAAGCCCTTCCTGTCTCAGAGAAGAGAAGAGGAAAGGACTTTTGGATGCTGCCCCCCTCTGTTCTCAACTCCAAGTCCTTGGCTACAGAGAATCCCAGGTGGAAGAGTCTGGGTGGGTGCAGAGCAGACCAGTGCACACTCACATGCCTGCAGCCCACACACACACCAAACACGCAGGCAGGCTGCCGCCCACACATTCTGACACATGCTTCTGTCCAAATAACCTGGCACACAGGCAATCTGACAGTTTACAACACCGCTACCTACACCTCCTAATTGTGTGCGTGCCTGCACACACACACACACACACACACACACACACACACACACACCCTGACCAGGACCCCAGAGTTGGAGCCGCCGCAGAGCCTGCCAGCTGCAGGCCAGCCCTCCCTCTCTTCCAGTGCTGGGCTTTTCCAGCGGAGCCTCACTCCCTCTACTGCAATCTCTGGAAATTGGTGTCTGACGCTGCTGCTCTTGCACGTTATTTATTTATTTCCTCTTTTCCTCCCGCCGAGACCCTCCTGTCAAGAGACCGGGCCGCGGGAAGCTGCAGGGACACACACGGCAGCAGAGAGGACAGACAGGAGGCCCACTCAGAAGCCCCCACCCTGAACATCCAGATCATCAAGTCCCCCGAAGGGGCCATGAGCACCGGGCAGGAGGCCAGAAGAGAGGAGGGAGACTCCAGGAGGAGGGGACAGGAGGCAGAGCTTCGGGACCGAGCCCACCTGAGCCAGCAGCGCCGGCTCAAGCAGGCCACCCAGTTCCTGCACAAGGACTCAGCTGACCTGCTCCCCCTGGACAGCCTCAAGAGGCTCGGCACCTCCAAGGACTTGGTGAGGCAGCCCTCTCCCCTCCCCACCCCCCAAATCTCCCCAATCCTTTCTCTGCACCTCCCCATATCCTGAGGAGGGGGTGGTAAAGTGCAGACCCTAATCCTGCAGATCCCCCCCACCCCCATTCAGCTGCTAATGGGGGAGAGGTAGTCGATTCCCATGGCTTGGTGGCTCTGAGGTATGCTGTTCTCATTGCTCAGTTTCCCCTAAAGGGCTTGCAGGTTATCTGGGTGTGGTGGGGAGCTGCGTTGTTTAGGAAGAGAGGCTTCCAGGGACACAGGCGCCCTCTGGGGCAGTTGGAACAGCTGGGATGACTGGCAGGTTTCAGGGTACAACTTCTCTCCCCTCCCTAAACTGTAAATTCCCTCATACCAGGTCTGTCCACTCATTTGCTTCCCTCTCCCCCCGAGCCCCACCCCCCCAAAACCAAAGCATTAAAGGTGCCAGAGCACCGGGGCTCCCATATGGCTGGTGCCTGGGCCACCTGGTCTCTGTAAGCTCCCTCTCCTCCCTCAGAGGCAGGGGGCCCTTCTAGGCGCCTTTCCTTCCATCCCCCTGCAGCAGCTTTGGCCTCCAGCTGGCATGGGGGGTGGGGAGGACTAAGGAGGAGGTGAGAGGGTCAGGGGAAGCTGCATAGACGCTCTGAGAGACAGTGGTGGAGAGCATGGGCTTTGAAGCCACTTCACTTGGGTGTGGATCCTGGCTCTGCCACTTACTAGCTCAGGCGAGTTTCTTTATGTCTCGTGGCTTAGTTTCTTCCTCTGTTAAATGAGGTTAAATTAATAGCACCAAGCTCCCAGGGTGGTTGTGAGAGTTAGCTGAGCTAATACCAATAAAGGAGAGTTATCTGAGCTAATAGCACCTGGGTAGGAAAGAGTCTATGTAAACTCTAACTGTTGTTCCTCTGGCTACAGTTGCATTTAGTCTGGGAGAGAGAGCAAACTCTGAGGCCCCAGAGAATACAGTGATGAATCTGGCCTCTGGTTCAGAGACAAAAGGATGACTTTTGTAGAAAGGCCTGGAACAGCAGCTGGAGGGTCTGAGAGGAAGGCACTTGAACACACTGAGCAGACAAAGCCATTTCCACGCCCCAGGCGGCTCTAGCAGCTTCCTCGCCCAGGGAACTTGGAGGCAAGCACAGTTTTCACCGTCTTTCCTTTCTTCCTACCTTTCCACACTGCTCCCAAATGTCTACGCACCCCCAATCCCATGCCCCCCAAGGAATCCAGCCCATAGGCCCAGCAAATCCCTACTTCCATGTCAACAGCCCCCAAAGAAGAGTGGTCAGAGGAAGAAATCAACTCAGGGAACCACCAGGGACTTTTTTCTGTTTGCTTGGTCAAGAAGCAGGGATGCAACAGGGAAGCAGGCTCTGTGGCTTCCAGTGGCTAAGACCGTTGGCTCCCAGGGACTAGGACCCTGTGGGGACCATCCTCCATCTACCTGTTCCTAGAGAAGAAGGTCTATAAACACTGCCTTCCCAGAGTGGCAGATCCAACTTTCTGATGAAAGTCCTGGGCGCTTTTTACCCCTCACCTGTGCCTCAGGCCCTCCTGAATTGATCTCCAGCAGTTACCTGTGTTGCTTTGGGAGTGAAGACATAACAGGCTGGGAGCACCCATTGTTTTCTGCAAACAGCACGTTGGTGGGGGGACCTAAAACCTGTATCCATGGAAAAGAGGGAGGACGGGCTGGGAACCTCAGGGCCCCTCTTTCCGACCAGTCCCAGAGCTTGCTGCCTTTTTCCCAGAGCCTGATCTCCTGCTGGCAGCCTTGCTGGCAGGCAGCAGCCTCCAGGGTCTCATTAAACCATGGGTGGAAAAACAATCCCAGGCTCTGGAGGACAGAAGGGAGAAACACGTGTAGAGCCTGGAGGGCTACAGTCATTTTTCAGCAAGCACTTATTGAGTACCTACTGTATGCTGAGCCAAGTCCTGGGATAGAGGGCCTCCCTGGTGGCACAGGTGGTTGAGCGCAGCACTGTGAAGCTGTCTGCAGCCTCTGCAGTGCAGCCACAGAGACACCCACACGGTGTGGCAGACCTCTCCTGTATTTCAGTCACCCGCTGCTCCCCTCAGCAGTATATTTCAGTCAGTCTGCCTGCTCTGTTCCCCACTCTGTCTCTGGTGGATCCTCTCACCCTCCTGCACCTCTGGCCTGTACCCTGGTTCTTACATGCATGAATAAATAAATCTTTTTTTAAAAAAAGTCCTGGGATATAAAGATGAATGAGATATAGACCTGACCTCAAGGGGTCTCTAGGCTAACAGGGAGTGAAATCCACAAATATCTATGAGAAGCTTGACAAAGGCAGCTGCCCCAGCTTGGTGTAGGAGTGGAAGAGTACAAAGAGCTCAGTGAGGGCTTCCTGGAAGAGGTAAATCCTGCATTAATTGTAAGATATACATGAGATCCCAGACTTAAGATCAGAACCACTCTCCTGAGCAAAGTGTGTTGAGCTGGTTCTCTAGTCTGGCCTAGAGGAGTGAGAAAGAGGAATTTCAGGAAGGGGGTGAGCAGGAGCAAAGGCAAGAAGATGAGAAACAGCCCAGCAAGAGCAGTAGCAGCAGGGGCACTGGGACAGATGTGCAGAGTGGGGGGAGATAAGGCTGAAGACTGAGGTGGTGGTCACCTTACAAAATCTGGGCCCTACCACATGAGCTTGGAGAGGGGAGAGGGCTTTTTTTAATTTTTTTTTATTTTTGTGGGACCCTCGCTGGTGGCCGGGGAATGAACCGGCGCTGCAGAGGCTGCGGGCAGCTTCGCAGCCCAGTGCTCAACCACTGCGCCACTGGGGAGGCCCAGGGGGGAGGGCTTTGATGGCTTTTAAGCAGCAGAGTTAACATGACCAGTTTTATGTTTTACTTTGGTGCTTCCAGAACTTTAATGTGCACCTAGTCATGTGGGGAGTCTCCGATTCAGTAGGTTGCAAGTCTGCACCTCTAGCAGGCTTCCAAGGAACATGAAAGCTGCTGATGTGACATTCGGAGCAGCAAGAGTTTCAGATCATTGACGGCTCAGGTTCTTAGGGACATAGGGAGGATTCCAGTGACCCGGGAGGGCTGTGGTGAGTCTGGAATCAAGGTGGTAGCAGAAAGGAGGCATGTGGTCTGGACGGTTGGTACCCACTGATGGTGGCTACGTGGCTTTCTGGTGGAAGCAGGGAGTGTCAGCTGCTGCCTCTGGGCTGGGCCGAGCTGGAGCTGCGCTGACAGTGGAGGCAAGGCAGCTGACTGGAGCCATGGCCAGCACTGGGGTGGCAGTGGCTGGAGGGTGGCTGCTGCAGGATTCACAGGCTATTGTGTTTGGGATCCATGAAGCATATGGAGGCTCAGGTCAAACAAGTTTTTCCAGGTCTCCCCAAATCTGCCTCCAGGGGTGGCTAGTACAGAGGTGGGTTTGAGTCCAAAATCATGACATAAGCAGCAGTAATACTAGGCATGAATCCTGCTGCCAATAAAGGAAAATAAGAGCTGTTCATCTACAAGTGAAGCTTTTAACTCATCCCCCACACAAGGGAGGATCTCCTTAAATAGCAGCCAAAGCCAGGGAAGCCAAGGATTTATTAGAAAGTCAAGCTAGGGCCTCCCCGGTGGCGCAGCGGTTGAGCGCTGGGTTGCGAAGCTGCCCGCGGCCTCTGCGGTGCCAGTTCGATCCCCGGCTGCTCCCCGGCCACCGGAGAAGGGTCCCACATGGCGCGCAGACCCTCCTGTCACCCGCTGCTCCCCTCAGCAGTGTCCTTCGGTCCTTCTGCCTGCTCTGCTCCCCGCTCTGGCTCTGGTGAATTCTCTCACCCTCCCGCGCTTCTGACTGTACCCAGTGCTTGTATAAACAAAATAAACAAACAAACAAATAAATAAAACATGCCTCTATTTAAAAAAAAGTCAAGCTAAAGCAAATGTATGATGAATTTTAAGTTCTATTTATGTCTATGAGTAGAAAACATTTATAATAAAATGACTAAAACTGAAAAAAAGGAGGGAAGCAGACAACTATAAATTCAGAGGGCACAACTGGCAGAACTAGGACTGAAAAGGGGCGGGGTGGATACAGGGGAGAGGCGCTTTGAAGATTTTGATTTCTTCTTTTTTTTGTTTTTGCTACTTTGACGTCTCATCACACCATCAACCCTGAGATCTGTAACCCACTGAAGGATGAAGTCAAGGGGGGAGGGTGGGAACAGGGAGAAACGTGAAACAAAGTGTTGTAGACTTGAGAGAAAATGTTTATCAAACATAGTAGTATGTTCGACATAGTCCCATCAGCCAACAGACCCATCTAACCCAGAATGGCCCATACTCTTCCCATTGCGCTGCTGACCAACTTGGGGTTCCAGAGAAAGAGTCTTATTTGCTATTGCTATAATGATCTGACTGTTGTGTAAACACCTACCTTTCCGTTTTCCTTTAAGACTGGGGTGGCCTTTGGGGGAAATCCGGGACATCTTCGGTGGGGACTGAGCAACCTGTACACTTGGATTTACACTCATCTACCTTCATTGTTTTGTGATGGAGCCAGCAGCCGCACAGCGTGATCCAAAGACGCCTGGTGGAAGGAAACCAGAGTCGGCTTCAGGGCGAGACTCCCCTGGTGCAGGCCCCGATTCCTGGCCAGGAGGACAGGAGGAAGATGGGCAAGGCAGAGATTCCAGCTCTTCTGGTCAACTGCAAGGTGAGTGTCCCCCTGGCTTTCCTGAACACTCCTGCTCACCACCGCTCACTTTACACACTCACGTTCTTGCCTGGGCAGGGAGGGCAGCAGGAGAAGCAGCGTCTTCCCCTGCAGCCTGCACCTAAAATGGGTTCCTCCAGCTTCTTTACTCTGCTTCCAACCATCCTCCCTCCCTGCAGTTCACGCTGTCACTGCTACTTCTTCCTCTCCTCTATTGAAGTATAGTCTTCCAAGGTATATGGATCCTCCTCAGTGTGCTCCACGTACATGAAGATGTGTGCTCACGCAGGACGCCATCCTCCTGGATCGTGTTGATGATGGCCTTGTCACCTTGTCATTTAACCACCAACCCACACTGACCTGTCCCTCATCAATGCTGAGGTTCTTCTGCCTTTGCTCTGTCTCCCCTGCCTGCTCTCCCACCATTCTGTTTCTACATTTTCAAAACAAGATTTATATATTTATGCTTACAAGAGCTGGGGTACGGGCCAAAGGTGCAGTAAGTGAGAGGATTCACCAGAGACAGAGTGGGGGGCAGAACAGGTGAATCTACTGAAATACACTGCTGAGGGGAGCAGCGGGCGAGACAGGAGAGGTCTGCTGCGCCATGTGGGTAGCTCCCTGGCCAGGGATGAACTCATGCTGCAGTGGCTGCCGATAGCTTGATAATGCTAAGACTTAACCCCTGCTCTACCAGGGAGGCCCCCCTTCACTTACTTCATGAAAGAGAATCATCAAAGGGCCGGGAGAGGTGAGGGGTCCAACCCCGCTGCATTTTCCCAGGACTCACTGCACCCCCCGCCCCTCTGTCTCAGTGTCGGGACCAGGTGCTCAGGGTGGCCGTGGACACAGGCACCCAGCACAATCAGATCTCTGCTGGATGCCTCAGCCGCCTCGGGTAAGAGTGTGGCCCAACGGTGGAAGGGGGGTGTGGCTTCTTTTGGGGCAATGAAAATATTCTGAAATTAGACAGTGGTGATGGTGGCCCAACTCTGTGAGAGTCCTCAAAGCCACTGAACTATACTGTAAAAGAGAGACTTAGAGCATATGAACTCTATCTCAGTAAAGCTGTTATTAAGAGAGTGGATGAGGGTTCTGGAGGGAAGACTCCTGTCTAAGGATTGGGCTAAAGATTGGAACCCCAAATGTGGTGGGGAGGGCTATTAGCTGTATACTGGGGAGGAGGTGGGTAGTGTGGTGGCCCTAATCCTTGTTCCCTACCACAGGTTAGGGAAGAAGGGTCTAAAAGCCCCAGGGGACCTGGCACCTGAGCCCCCAACCCAGGTGGAGCAGCTGGAGCTCCAGCTGGGGCAGGAGATGGTGGCGTGCTCGGCCCAGGTGGTGGGTAAGTTTTCCCTGCAGTAGCCCACCTTCTCACCTCTTCGGCCTTCTTCTCCCCAGGGGGGTAAAGGCAGAGCCTTTCAGCCCTGCCATCACCAGAAAAGTACACCAAAGATGCTCTGCTTCTCCCCAATCTCTGTCAATATTCTTGACCTGCGGGTAGGGTGGGCAGAGAGTAGGGCAGCAGGCACCACCGGGGAACCCCCAATCTCTTCTTTTCCAAATGTTTCCTGCAGATGTTGAGAGTCCTGAATTCTGTCTTGGGCTGCAGACTCTGCTGTCTCTGAAGGTAAGGAGGCCAGTATACTCACACCCACACTTAGGGCCTGACCCAAAGGGCTGGGGAAAAGCAGGAGACACAGATGTGGAAGTGAGGTTCAGGTTCCCATGAGACATGGAGAGGGGCGATTTCACCTTTGCTTCCATACAGCTTCCTTATTTGCCCACCAGTGAGAAATAAGAGCTGGGTTCCCCCCCACAGGGGTCAAGAGCCAGGGGGAGGGGGCTGGGAGGTGAGCTCACATTTCCCCTCCACACCCACAGTGCTGCATTGACCTGGAACGCCGAGTGCTGCGGCTGCAGGCCCCGTTCCCAGAGCTGCCCTTCCTGCCTTTGTACCAAGAGCCTGGCCAGTGACTGCTGTTCCAGGCGGTCCCCAGGGGAAGGACCTTGCCTTCAGGAGAGCCCTGTGGGGTACAAGGGCATGTCTAGAGGCAGGTAGCTGGGGACTGTGTCTGTCCTGACCCTGCTGTCCCCGTCCCTCAGAGACCACATTCCTCTTTGCTTCTCTGCAACTGCCCGACGCCCAGGAGTTTTCACGAGAGAGGCCAAAGATCTCAGGGTTCTGGTGTCCCTGTTCTCCCTCACTCCCCCCCGAGAACAGCAGAGCCCAATCAGGGCTGCAGACAAGGACATATGCAAAATGGGGTTCCAGGCTGGGCTCTGGGCATGATGGGAACTGGCCTGCATCAAAGGCTGCAGCAGACTGCTGTTCTCTCCTTGCCCCCCAACTCCACCCCAAACTCCCCTGACAGCGCTGTGCCCACGTCTCTCACTTCGCCTCCTAGGGCTTACTAGACTGCCACACCTCATCCACTGGGGTCCTGGCCCTTCTGGTGTCTACCTTTCCGACTATGCCCATCCCCCACCACGGAGTAAAGAGAATTCAATCCACCTAGGAAAGTGAGTTGGAGGAGCCCCCAATGACCAGCCCCCCAGTCCGGGAGCTCCTTCATGTGTTACCTTTTCTGGGCTTCCAAACCTCTGAAGCCAGTTATTGATGGTCCCACTCAAACCTTGGCTAGCTCGCTGATATTTACTCCAGATATTTATCCTCCTCCACTTGTTTTTTCACCCGAGTCCCCCGACTTTGGGGGGTGTGTGGAAGGGTTCTGGGGAGAAGTGACTCCATAAGGATGGTGGTGTTATCAGTACGCACACTTGGATGAAACAGTATTCTTTCTTATTTCTAGAACTATCCATCATATTAGGCCTTTACCTCTGGGCCTTGGAGTTTGAGCTCATCTTGTTTTGGAATCAGTGGCTTTTCTATCCCCCACCAGGCTCTGTGCCAAAGCACACAACAAGGATTCTCCTTTGACTTCCCGGTAAAGAGGGGAATCCAAACCTTAAGGAACCAGATTCCCTGAGTGCCTCTCTGGCTGGTTTTTCTCTCAAGTCACGGATTAAGGGTAGAAGCCAGTCGTGTAACTAACCTGAACTAGGGAACTAGGATACTTGGGCTGCAAACCAAGTTGTGAGCCTGGGGTAGATCAGAGAACCAGGAGCTGCCCCGTGGCACGTGGCCTGGCCTTTCCCAGCTCACGCCCCTGCCCTCGCAGGGAAGGAGCGGGCCGCCCTATCACTCGTGGAAGAGTACCCTGGCCCCACACTGCCTTGCTCATGACCTTGGCTTTCCTGGGTCCCACCTGATTCGCTCCCTTCAGCCTCTGCTGCTTCTGTAACTGCAGATCCCGGGCCCAGTGGCGGGCCTTAGCTCAGCTGCTCTCCTTCTGAATAAACACCTGTTTCTCTACACCGATGTCCTCTGTCTGGCTCCCTGCTTATCAGGAGTTGAAGATCCCTTTGCCCTGATAGGAAATATGAATGTAGACCCCTCCCAGGTCAGGATTATTGAGAGGAGTGGCTTTCAAACATGTTTGGGCACCACTTAACAGCAGGAAAGAGTTTACACTGTAGGCACCACACACACACGTACGCACGCAACACCCAGCAGTGCTAACCTGCGCTGTGAGCAATACTCTGGTATCTTCCATTCTAATTTATTCTTTTCCATTCCATTTATTCAAAAAATGTTGATCACAGTCCACCAAAGAATTACAACCTATAACTTGAAAGACACTGATTTAGGGCACGCAGAATCAAGAGCAGAAGGTATAAAAGTGGTCCAATATCTGATCTGATGCTGTGGTCTGGTTCATAAACCGGCATCAGATTTTAAATGTCTCCTGTCTAACCATGAGGTGTTTTGAGAGGGAGATGGAAGCAAGGCCTGCGAAGCTGCATGGTACCTGAAGAACACGGCTACTGAGAATGTGCTGAGCTAGTGTCTTTGGTAATCATCTCAGGGTTGCTGGGAACACAGGAAGACCAGACTGTAAATTGTCTGTAAATTTTAATTGAAAAATCCCTCCAAGCCAAAGTTAGTTGTTTGTCATTCCAGTCAGAGCTGCTGATGCGGATGGCTTCTGTGCCACAGCGACGGTGCTCAGGAAGGGGTGGGGCCCTTACCTCACAGCTCTAGCAGCATCTAAGCCTGGTCTCCTAAGGGTGTCAGGGCCACACACTAGATCTGTATCCCCTCCTCACAAACAAGTCTGCCTTCTTGACAGAGGGAGTGGGAATTCTGGGCATAGGAATGTACCAGACGATGTGGAACAAGGTTGGGCAGACCTGCTGACGCGTTGGGTAAGGTACGCAAGGAAATGGGCAGAGGGCAACCTGTCTCGTCTTCCACCAAAAAGACCACGGGATCTAGAGTTGACAGTTCTTTAGTTGACCCCAGGGTCACTGCCATCCTGCCGTGCTCCTCTGTCATGCAGAGTCCCTATCCAACCAACAACACGGTACCTTGAAGGGTGGGGAGGTTCAAGGAATCTGCCTCAGCCAAGTGGCAAGCCCAGCTAGGTGGGATCCTGGGAGTTTGTGGAAGCACACTGTGCCAGCTGGTCTGGATGGTAGAGGGTTTGGTGAAGCAGTTTGCGGGCAGCTGGGAGGTCATCAGGATCTGAGGGCAAGAAAGGGACTGGTAAGAGGCCTCGGGTTTTCAGGGCACTGTGCCATCTGGCTCCCCTGGGCTGCAGTTCTGCCAGCACTCACCAACGCCCAGCTCCTCCAGCAGGCTCTGGTACTCTGGCTCGGCCTCCAGGAGTTTCAGCAGGTTGGTGGACTCCATCCGCTCCAGCTGCACCTCCCAGTACACGTAGATCTTCTGGTTGAACGTGACATACACGAGGCAGGGGCTGTTGCGGCCCTCTTTGCAGGCATATAGGCCTGGCGGCGTGGGTTGGGAGAGAAAGGTCGAGGAGTTTCAGTCCCAATGGTGGGAGGTCAGAACGTGATGCGGACATTAGAGTCAGCAATTCTGACCCTCCCACAGAAGTCAAGCAGAAAGCTAAAGGCCCTCTTTCTATTTCTGCTACTGGGAACTCAGTAAAATAAGTAAAACAGGGCCTCCCTGGTGGCGCAAGGGGTTAAGACAGCCTATGAAGCAATCTGCAGCCACTGCAGCACGAGTTCGATCCCCAGCCAGGGAAGTGACCCACATGGCGCAGACCTCTCCTGACTCCCCTGCTGCTTCTCTCAGCAGTATATTTCAGTCAGTCTGCTGGTTCTGTTCCCCACTCTGTCTCTGGTGAATCCTCTCACCCCCCACACCTCTGGCTTGCACCCAGCTCTTGCATACATAAATAAATAAATCTTAAAAAAAAAATAAGTAAAACAGTAAAATCTGGGCCCATCCCAGATAGGAAAGAATCATAGTAACAAAAACCAGACAGAAGAGCATCCAAAAAGGTGACACCAGTTGATTTTAGCAATCAGCTGGAGTAATGAAGGGCAGGGTTCCTAGTCCCTGGGGTAGATTAGCAAAACGTTATCAGAAACCAAGGCTTCTCTTGGGGGTCAAGCCCCCTTCAGAGGTGTACTCACCTCAGGACTCTGGAGTATGTACATCAGAGCACCAATTTCTATCACTTCAGTAACCAAACAAGCCCCTAATGACCCAAAAGAACTGCTTTCCAAGGTCCCGATTTGATACTAATAAGAAGGCTCTGGGGGCCTCCCTGGTGGCTCAAGGGGTTAAGCACCACACTATGAAGCAATCCATAGCCTCTGCAGCATAAGTTCGATCCCCGGCCGGCCAAGGAGCAGCCCACATGGTGCAGCAGATCTCTCCTGTCTTGCCCACTCCTCCCTTCAGCAGTGTATTTCAGTAGATCTGCCTGTTCTGTTCCCCACTCTGTCTCTGGTGAATCCTCTCATCCCTCCTCCCGCTGCATCTCTGGCCTGTACCCCAGCTCTTGTATGCATAAATAAATAAAATCTTTTTTTTTTTTTTTTAAAAGAAGGCTCTGGGGCCTCCCTGGAGGTGCAGTGGGTTGAACGCAACGCTGAGAGGCTGTCCGCAGCCTCTGCAGCGTGGGTTCAATTCCTGGCCGGCCAGGGAGATGCTGCATGGCGTGGCAGGCCTCTCCTGTCTCGCCCGCTACTCCCCTCAGCAGTGTATTTAAGTCAATCTGCCTGTTCTGTTCCCTGCTCTGTCTCTGGTGAATCCACTCATCCCCTGCATCTCTGGCCTTATACCCCAGTTCTTGTATGCATAAATAAATAAATCTTTAAAAAAATTTCAGAGATGGAGAACTCACTTTACTTCCTTTTTTTTTTTTTTTTTTTTTAAAGATTTATTTATTTATTTATACAAGCTCTGGGTACAGTCAGAAGCGCGGGAGGGTGAGAGAATTCACCAGAGCCAGAGCGGGGAGCAGAGCAGGCAGAGGGACCGAGGTACACTGCTGAGGGGAGCAACGGGCGGCAGGAGAGGTCTGCACGCAGGACCCTCCTCCGGTGGCCGGGGAGCAGCCAGGGATTGAACCAGCGCCGCAGAGGCTGCAGGCAGCTTCACAACCCAGCGCTCAACCTTTGCGCCACCAGGGAGGCCCTTACTTTACTTCTTTTTTAAAACTAATAATGGCAATCTAGTCCCCATCCATGATCCTTTAACAAAAAAGCTAGAGAACTCATTGATGCGTAAAGGCTTCTGCTAGGGACCCACCACGAGTGGAAATGAGAGGCAGATGAGGTTAGAGGGGCATGGGGCAGGGTCCCACCTGCGCAGAAGGCACGAATGTTCTCATCCACTTGGAAGCGGACAACGGTGCGGTTGTGGTCGATGATGTACGTCTGTCCGTCCCAAGCACAGGCCACTACCTCCTCATGCCCGTTACCCTGAAAAAGGGCAGAGAGAGGATGCAGGGGAGCAAGATCTAATGATGGGACCAGGTGAAATTTAAAGCAGCAGTGGACTTGGCTCTGGGAGCCAAGTAGCAGGTCAGGAAAGAAAACACCATGTGCTTCTTATCAAACTTCTCCCCCGCACCAGGCACCAAAGGAGGTAATCAAATGAGCCACCTCACTAATGCTCACAACAGGCCCCTGAAGCAGGAAACATCACTCCCAGGTTTATACTGAGGAAACTGCAGCTCATGGAAATAAAGTCGCTCCCCAAGGACACTCAGGGGGAGGCTGCAGGATCAGGACTCTGTCCCAGGCCTGTCCTAGCTGACTTCAAAGCCTCAAGCCTCTCCTAAACCACTGTGTGCACGGTGGCAGCAAAAAGGGAAGCCTCAGCTGCCATAGCCTTGGTAAAGACAGACCAGATAACAGACACCTGGTGTTGGGACTTCTAGACCCATCTAGGCCCTAAAAGTGACTGATTTCTCTTTGGGGTGCTTCCTTCTGCTGAAAGGTACTGAAACAAGAGGTTTCCCAGTAGGAGAATAGAGAATGATGGTAAGCCCCAAGGAGGCGGGGAAACAAACCCACTTCAGGTAGAACTAGACACGTCTAAACAGAGACTTCAGGGCAAAGAGTTGAGTGTGAAGTGAGAAGGGCCTGATTCAAAGCTCCTATCTCTGTGTGAAGAAGATAAGGACACCCTCACCCAACTCCAGGCTCTCCACCCACCGTGACATCCAATTTCTCTAGAGCGAAAAGCTGGTGATCCACCTGCACCGACCACAGCAGCTTGTCTGCGTCCTCCATCAGCTTGAGCGTCCCTGCAGGTGCAGATGCAGGTGGGGCAGTGGGCAGGACTCCTGAAGGGGCTCCATGAGCACACACCTCCCACCCAGGCATGACCCGGGGAACTCACCATCCAGGGTGCAGAGGGCAATGAGGCCGGAGCCACCGCTCTCAGGGCTATGGCCTGTGGAGGGACATAGGGACCAACAGAAGAAACTGAAGGGGGACTGAGATCAGAGCATGAGGGGGCGGCCAAGGGTAGGGACAGAGGGGTAGGACCCTGCACCTCCCCTCCCCTGGAATGCATGTCAGCCCTCAGCTCCCTCTCAGGCCCTATCAGCTTCACCTCGTTTGATGTTGCCCACGAGGTGAGTGGAGACATTCTTGTTGTGGATGCGGCCAGAGGTCTGGTGCAGCACGACATCTCGGGCCGCTGGGCTCTCCCTGCAGGCAGGAGGGTTAAGCAGGGACACAGGGACTCAGTTCCCTGGGAACTTTGTGGGCCCATCTGTAAGAGTTTCCAAGGTGTGAACCAGCTTGGAAAGATATTGCTGACCCTGTCCAGCCCATGTAGCAAACAGGAAAGAAAAGGAAGGAATGGCCGGTTAGAATCTAGGAAATCTGCAGCACGGGTTCGATTCCCAGCTGCTACAAGGTTAAAGCCCAGGGATTCCTGGGTCCCAAAATAATCTTTCATGAGACAAAGATGCTTGTGCTAGACCTCGCTACACAGCTCTGCCAGCCACAAGCCCATTCACAGCTGTGTGTACCTCGTTCCCATACACCCACACCATCCACAGGCTACACCCCTTACCTACTGCCCTCTGGGGTGCTCTCAGAGGTAGGGGGTTGCTCAGTGTCCTTGTTCCAGGTACACAGTAGGATTGCATAAGCACAGCCTGGCTGAGAAACCATCAGTTCAGGAACACCCAGGGGCCCTGGAGTCACTGACAGACTGTCCACCTGCACCAGAAAAAAGGTACATTAAACAGTGGGGTTCCACAGAGAACAGGGGAGACCTGGCGGAGTCCCAGGTTTAGAGGGCTCCTGCCCAGGTCACAGGGCTCCTGCCCGGTGCTACCCTCTCAACAGAGACCATCTGCTTCCATCTCTGCATGCCTCAACTGAGTCCCGATCCCATCACAGGGGATCCCGATCCCCTTCACCCCCACTTTATATGAGCCACCTTGCCTTATGTTCACAACAGCCCCCCAAAGCAGGAAACATCACTCCCAGTTTTATACCGAGGAAACTGCAGCTCATGGAAATAAAGTCGCTCCCCCTGACACTCAGCAGGGAGGCTGCAGGATCAGGACTCCATCCCAGGCCCATCCTACCTGACTTCAAACATCAAGCCTCTCCTAAACTACTGTGTGCACGGTGGCAGCAGGAAGGGAAGCCCCCCGCCAGCTGTGGATCCAGGGCCACAGCCTAGGTAAAGACAGAAAACAGATATCTGGTGTTGGGATGACTAACTCACTTCCACACCCTAAAAGTAACTTGTTTCACACACTCCATTCATGGCTCCGTCTTCCTCCCTCACTGCCGATTAGTAGCAATTTCCCCCAAGACCCAGATTTGAAATGATCTCCTGTTCTTTCTCAAGAGGGCAACTGTTCCTTCTTCCCACCTTGCACCCTGCCCCCTGGGCTCCCCAGGTCCCACACTTAGCCTCTCACCTGGCCCTCCAGCATCCACTTCTTGAGAGATACCAACTGCCCCGTGGGGTGATCAGTGCTCTCTCCCAGATCTTCCCAGCGGAAGGCACGTACCACGCGGTCCGTGTAACCTACCAGCAGCTCACAACGTCCGTCTCCGTCTGTGGATCCAGACAGTAAGATGAATTTGGAGCCAAATGTGTATTTGCCAGCTCGAATCCGACAAGCGTCCCCCTCCCCATGCCTCCGCTAACGCCAGCAGACCTGGTATTCTCTACTGTTGACTTCAGGCCCATTTGCTGTGCCTAGCCCCTGACACCTGCAGTCAGCTCCCTGCTCTGCTGCCCTTCCAGGCGCCTGTAACTCTCTCCCCACCTGTCGGCTCTGCAGGTGCTGTCACTTCTCCCCTGAGCTGCTTCTCTCAGATACACAAGACATCAGCTCCTGTCTGCACAGCTCACCCCTTGCCGCCTTCAATTCTGGAGCAAATGTCACCTTCTCAACAAGGACTTCCCTGACAACGCCACTGAGAAATGCTGTGACTGTCTAGACACCCTCTAATCCCTTTCCATGACTGACTGTCCCCGTGGTACTTATGCTTCTAATATGTCGTTTAATTTTCTTATAATGTTTATGTTGTATTTTCTGTCACTTTCTAGTAAAGAGCCAAGAGGGCTGAGATTTTTGTCTGTTTTATTCACTATTGCTATCCCAGGGCCTACAATGATGATTGGTTTATAATGGGAACTCAGCAATGAGACATTAAATGAACGAGAGCTCAGAAACTCAACATTAAATACCTAATAAATGCACAAGTGAATACTGACCAACCTGCCCCCCTCCATCACAATTCCCTTGAGCTGTGCTCTATTCCCCACTGACTCCTGCCCCCCACCGCCAGCAAAGGCAGCCATGCCCACCGATGTCGCTGATCAGCATGACCTTGGTGTTGGCAGGGATGTGCTGCTTGAAGATCGGCCGCTGCTCCTCTCCCATTAGTGTTTCATGGTGCCCAGAGGCATCCAGGGCCTTGGTGGGTGTTAGGTCACACAAGTGAAACCAGCCTTCAGCGCTCACCGCCACTACCAGGTTCTGGGAGAGATGGGCATGGGAGAGGTGGGAGGCAGGGAAGCCTGGGCACAAGCCCCAGCTGGAAGAGCATAGAGGTCGGGTCTGAAGCCTTTAACTTTCTACTGATTTCCACCTTGAGATAGGGAGTTCCACTGAGTCCAAGGACCCCAAAGGTCTTACCTTTCCTTTATTGCACACATCTCCAACCCCGACGCAAGTCAACTGCAAAAGAAGAAAGGGAGGCTCAAGGAGACACAGTGAGGGGCACCCGTCCTCCTACTGTGCGTGACGCAAGGAGGAGCGGGTTAGATAATTGCCATCACCTGCTATGGAGCCATCTGCCCTACCCTGACAGTCTGCATGTGTGTAGACTGCCCACAACCCACCCCTGTGCTGTCGGCTGGGTTTACCCAGACAGTCATGTGAAGACCCAAAGTAGTCAGGACAACGTGGGTTTAAAAAAAAACAAAACTCCATCTAATATAGTCAGACTATCCTATTTTAGATTTAGTCAAATTACGGGCCCTATTTTCTATGGTACTTTATAAGATCAGACAACTCAGGGGCCTCCCTGGTGGCGCAAGGGGTTAAGCACAGCACTATGAAGTTATCCGCAGCCTCTGCAGCAGTAATTTGATCACGACCAGCCAGGGAGCTACCCACATGGCGCAGAGACCTCTCCTGTCTCTCCCGCTGCTCCCCTCAGCAGTGTATTTCAGTCAATCTGCCTATTCTGCTCCCCACTGTCTCTGAATCCTCTGACCCACCACACCTCTGGCCTGCACCCCTGTTCTTGTATGCACAAATAAATAAATCTTTAAAAAGAAGTCAGACAACCCAGGCATTTTCCAAAATAGCGCCTTTCCATGAAGTCATTCCACATGCTAAAAAAAAAATAAGCCAACCATGTGTACATGTACATGTTTGTGTGCATGCATCATGCGGGTCTGTGTATGTTTGTGTTTCAATGTGTGTGCTGGTATGTCTGTGTGTGTATGTGTTTCTGTGTTACATGTGTTTGTGTCTATATGTGTGAATGTGTTTGTATGTGCATGTCTGTGTCTGTATGCATATCTGTGTGTGTGTGTGTGTGTGTGGAACAGATGGGAAAGCCTCTCTCTGAATCAAATGATTGGTGAACCAGTGACTGGCAAATTAGAAAACTCTGGTGAACTCTGGCTTGGGGCACACCCTTGATAGTTCCTGGACAGAGGCACCTCCCCCCGCCCCCCACCGCCTTGAGACCCAGGGAGTTGAATACTGACCATTCCCTGGCAGGAACAGGTGAACCATGGCCGGCTGTCATCATTCTTATACACGGACAGCTTTCCGTTGGTGTCGCCCACCACCAGCTCATTTAACTTCAAGTGGAGAGAGAAGAGGGTGTTAGGATGGAAACCTCCTGTTCCCTTCTGCCCATCCTGCGGAAGTCACAAGACCTCAACTTGTATCTTCGACGTTTTTGAAAATCTTTTGGAACCAACACAATCACAGCTCCCCAGTTTGTGTGTGTGTGTTGGGGCTAGGGGACGTTAGAGGATTGGGGCAATACAGAATCTAGGCCCATCCTAGAAAAGTTGGACATCTGAACAGCTCAGTGCCCTGCATGCCTGACTTGCGGCTCCTCTAATCTGTCTACCACAAATGGGCTGAAAATAACCCCACATATTTTTTTTTGGAGAATGTAATGTCAGAGCTCATATTTAATCAGGGGCCAAATAAAATGACGATGTTAGCTCTGGGGGAGGGGGGTCCTCCGTCCTCTAGCGGCAAACATAGAGGGATGGAAGTCCCCAGGGGACAGTAAGAAGGGGTAGCTGGGTGTCAGCCTCCCTGCTCTGTGCCTCTGGTGCCCCCAAGTGGCAGCCAAGCTCTCAAGAGGAGAGGCTCCCTGCATGGAGCCTCTTCTCCACTACGTGGGTCCATTTTCCCAGTGTCTCCCCAAGGCTGGCTGCCCTTTCTAGCAGCTAATGATGACAATGAGGTGGTTCCAAACCCAATTTCCACAAATAGTTCCATGATATCCCTGGAGTGGGGGTAGGACATCTAACACCCCTTACTGACCTCAAAAGAGAGGGAACTAATATCTCATTCCCAAGAGATTTAATTCTAAAGGTCACAAAGACAAGATAGATCAACAGTGAGGAAAAGTTAGCAACAAACTGGGATTTACTAATAATGATTAACTTGATTTGAATGTAGTATCTGTTATATTTTAATAGTTAGGGGAGGGCCTCCCAGGTAGCACAAGGGACTAAAGTCTCAGTGCTATGAAGCTATCACCAGCCACTGCAGCAAGAGTTTGACCCCTGGCCAGGGAGCTACCCACATGGTGCAGCTCCCCTCAGCAGTGTATTTCAGTCGGTCTGCCTGTTCTGCTCCCCACTCTGTCTCTGGTGAATCCTTTCACCCTCCACCGCACCTCTGGCCTACACCTTACCTCTTGCATGCACAAATAAATAAAATAAATCTTTGAAAAAATAGTTAGGGGAGTTTTGGTGTGATTATTAAAACATAAAACAAGTTTATTTACACAAAGCCCTCAGCACGTGAGGTTTCTATCACAGCTTCCCCTTGTGGGCTTCCAGACACATTCAGGAGCTAGGCTGAATAGCACAATTGAGTGGCAGTTGGCAGATTTGAATCCAGTTCAAATCCTGTTAAACTGTTTCATCTGTCAAACACAACAGTCTTTGAGGGGATGGCTCCCTCAAAGAAGGGTCCCCACCCTTCGTTTCGCCATCAACATGGATGGCATGTTGGGAATATACATCAGCACGCACAAGGACATCCATGAAGTGGGTTTCGAGAAGTGTAACCCCTGCACACTCAGAGATTCCTGGAAACTTGCCATGAAGGAGTCGGGCCCCCCAGATGCATGCACCGACTGCACTCAAAGCTGTCTGGATTAAAGGAGTGAGAACACCTCGGATGGTACCCATGTGTGGTTGTCCAGAAAATGCAATGAGGATGAAGGGTCAGCAGATGAGGTATACTTTGGTCATTCATGTACCTGTGACCACTTTCAAAAATTTGGTTAGTGGATGAGAATTAACCACCGACTGTCAAAGTTATAAAACTACAAACAAAACAAAACAACAACAACAAAAAAAAAAACCACCGAAAAAACAAACAAGGATAACAAGAGTATCTGCCTTATAAGGTTGTCACAAGAGCTGAGCTAATAGAGAAAAGCATTTAGGACACTGATTGGCACAGATGAGTAATAATACCAGGGAGTTTTTAGCCTCTGGTTAAACACCCCAGAGACTAGGGGACTAAGCATCTTTCACACTACCCATTTCATTCTTTTTTTAATATTTATTCCACAAATGCCGTAGTCCACAGCAGGCCCTTGGTGTTTACTTAACAGACAAAAAAGATTATTTAAAAGAAACAAAAAAATCAGAATGAAAGAGAATGCCCAGCCAGCCCTGCAGTTTTCAGGTAAAGCTGGACAACCCGCTTGGGGTACAAAGATAAATGGCACAGAATGCCTTCTGAGAGGTACCTCAAAAGTTTAATAGAATAAAAATCATAAAACAATGTGGCAAGTGTAGTGAGCAAACAGATGGGACTCAGCCAGGCAGAGAGGAAGGCGATGGCAGGCAGCCTGGAAAGAGACATTTCCTGGGCTGCCCAGCTTCTCTGTGGTGGGTCCTGGCCCCGCCTCTGGCCATCCCTCAGACACAGTACAGGGCACAGGCTGGAGACTGCAGCATGGGTCAGAAATGCTAAAGCGGGAAGGAGGTGAGGTCTTTCTGAGACCTGCTTCTGCCTTCTAAAGGCTTTCTTTCCTGGGGGTAGCAAGGTTTGCGGTGGAGTTTTGGGTAGTCTTAGAGGGTGTATATTCTTTTCTGGCTTCACTCTCTGACTTAGCAGGAAACAAACCCATTTCCAAGAAATTTAGGCTAATGGTTTAGTAGAATAAAACAAATCTATCTTCTGCCCCAAACCTCCATATGCCTTAGGAACCAATAATAAAATTTCTGTCCACACTCACATAGGCAGAGTGTATCATACTTGATCACTCACCAACTATCTCAACTTGCCCTCCTTTCAATTATATTTACCAGTACCAGGAAAAACCTTTCTCATCACTTTGACACACAAAATCATACTTGCTTTTCATAATAGTCCTTGTTTCTTCAACAAACATTTATGGAGTGCCTATTATGTGCCAGCACCATTCAAAGTGTTGGGAACACAGCAGTGAAAAAAAGATACAAAATTTCTGTCCTCATGGAGCTTATAATAATGTAGCTTCACCCTGAGTTAAAGAAAAGCAGCAGCAAGTACAATGTGCCTAATTGCAGAACTGAGTGTGTAACAGTGCACTTCACTTAGAAAAGCACAATTTCCCAAAATGCCGATGCTATAAAGCTATGGGGGTTAAAGGAAGCATTTCCTCCTTTTAAACAAAGAAAGGCAATCAGATAAAATGAAAAATAGCGCACATTAAAGTCACTTTGTTAATTTACTACTTAAAAATGCCTCCCTTGATTTTCTCATAAAATTGTACTGCAGGAATAGGAAGAAATGTGAAAATCCAGAGAACATAATACAATTTTATGAGACTAACTCTTCCACCCCAGAGGGGATGTAGCCAAAGGGACGCCTCATAAAAATACTTTCTCCATCACAGCACGACGGGAGTTGGCGGAGGATATTTTAGCATTTGTTTTATTTCCAAGGAAAAAGAGAACACAGAATAGTGAAGTAGTGAGGATGAGAACCAGGAAACAGAGTAGAAAGATGGGACAGAGGGTGGGAGAGCAGGGCAATAGGTGCTTTGCATCAGACCCATGAAATAAAGCAAATGAATGGAAAGATTAAGTCTGGAAAACAAGAGCTTCTCAGCCTTGAGCATGATGCTCCTCCACCCCCGAACCTTTTACATATTTTAAATCAACGCACTTCATTACATTTTGTGACTTGTGTGACTGTCACCCAATCTCATCATGAACTACCTGAGGGAGGAGACCATCGTGTTCACTTTTGAATTCCCAGAATGTAAGAGAGTCTTTGGCACAGTTCAATAAATACTAACAACGCTGGCACTCCCAGAGCGTTAACTCCGTGCACAAACATTTTTCTACCTGCTTGACCAGTGTTGGTTCATTTAGACAACGAGAAAAGGAACGAGTTCAGCAGAAGAAAAGGTAGATGGTAGATTTTTTTTTGGTAATTCAACACAGGGGGAGCGCTTTGGGGTTGCCCAGGTGTTAGGGAGAAATGATGTCCTGAGCTAATCCCATACAGGCTTTGTGGACTCCACTCCCAGTCCAGACTAAAGCCATCAGGACATTGGGAAAGACAAATCCCGTCACCACCAAAGGGAAGGTGGCTGGGACCTGAGGGTGGAGTTAAGCAGCCAGGTTGGGTATAAAAACCAAACACGTGGGCCTTGGGGGGACTCGCTGTTGCTGGCCTCCTGGCTTCACGGCTCCTGGCTCGCGGCCAGCTCTCAGAGCGCCATTTGGGATTCCTGATCGGCGGATCGGGTAGGACACATTTAAAACTTTGTCTCCCACTTTTCTCCCTGAGCTGTACATTTCCTCATTTCCCCTTCCCTTGTAAATAAACCTTTTATTAACCTTTCGCGTGTGCCTGCAGTAGAGCATGGATAAGTCCTTTTAAGCGCGCGGGGGAGGACCCACAGCCAGGCACCCCGTTTGGTATCGGGGCTGCCCTGTAACACAGGGTCTGTCAGGGAGTCGACTACCTGCTCGCCCACCGTGGAGCAGACGAACACTGACATGGGGCGGTGAGGGCATCGCTGGCCCCGGCCCGAGGGGCTCAGTCTACTAGCAGGGAGGCTGGCGGAGAGGCCCAGCGATCTGCTCCAGGGCAGCCTGTTCTGAGGTGCTGAGAGGTGACAGGTGACGTGATTTGAGGGGTGACGCCGCCGGAGCAGGCTGGACCGCAGAAGCAGTGAATCAGGAAATCCGACCACCACAGCGAGCAAGCTACCGAATTAGGGAGCGGGTCAGTTATCTAGTCCCCTAAAATAACGTGAGACCAAGGCACAGACTAACTCGCTCACGACGCGCAGGGAAAGTGACCCGACGAGCTCTTCCCGGCCCGCGCCAGCCGCCCGCGCCATCCACCCGCGCCAGCCGCCCGCGCAGCCCGCGCCGCGCATGCTCGCTGCGCACGCCGCACGCCGCGGGCGGCCACCCCGCTCCCCTGGCCCCGCCCCTCTCCCTGGCCCCGCCCCTCCGGCCCCGCCCCGGCGCTGCGCCGTCCCGGGCTGCGTCTCTCGCAGTGCGCATGCACTGACCGTATCGTTATCCACGTCTCCGAGACAGATTGCGTGCGGGAAGAGGCTCCCGCTAAACTCCAGGGCCACGCGCTGCACGTAGCTAACCGATCTCATCGCACTTCCAAGGGCCGAGGCGCCGGGGAGCCCGCCAGATGGCCCCCGAGCCCCTCCCGCCAGCCGCCCGAGCGGAAGGCCACCCAAAGCGGAAAGTGATGTCACCGCCGGCGCGTCCAATCCCGGCCTCGAGCAGGCGGGGCCTCGGGGCCCGGGGCGGGCTTACCGGCTCCTGATGTGAGTGACAGGGCCGCGGGCCACTCGTTTTTTCCAGGGGGCTGGAGCGCAAAGGTAGACTAGCTGTGACCCCGCCCATCGGTTCCCTTGGCAATGGGATCTCTAGGGCTCGACCTGATAACCTTGACCTCTTTTTTCAGATCACCCTAAGACTCATACTAATCGTCATAACTGACAGTTGTATGATTTCCAACAGTTTAAAAAAACTGCCCAGGGCCTCCCTGGTGGCGCAAGGGGTTTTGACACAGTACTATGAAGCAATCCGCAGCCTCCGCAGCACGAGTTCGATCCCCGGCCAGGGAGCAACCTACATGGCACAGCTGACCTCTCCTGTCTCGCCTGCTGCTCCCCTCAGCAGTGTGTTTCAATCAGTCTGTCTGTTCTGTTTCCCACTCTGTCTCTGGTGAATTCTTTCACCATCCACACCTCTGGCATGTACCCCAGTTTTTATATATGCATAAATAAATCTTTTTAAAAAATTAAAAAACTGCCCATTAGGAGTCACGAAAACAATTTAGTGACGATTAGAAAAATACCCAAAGTAGAACAGAAAATACCAGTGACTCGAATAGTAAGGTAAAGAAAAGTATTTTTTAATCATGTGGGTTTTGTGGTCAACAGTTTGAAAATCACTTGCCACAGAGCACATTTCACATGTATCATTTCATGTCATTGGCTTAATAATGCTATTAACTTGTATTACTATACCAGTTTTTTTGGACAAGGAAAACAGTTTCGGCAAGATTCAGTAACAAGGTGGAAAATGGAGGTGGGATTCAAATCAGGATTGTTTACTCCCAAATCCCAGGTCCTTTCTTTTACTACCATAGTTTCTAGCCTCAGGCTAGAGATCTGAGCTGCTGAGGTTACGGATCTGCTCAGCCTCCTTGAACCTGCCACCCCACCCTAAACCCTCCCCAGCCTAAAGCACTCGCCTCCCTCTCTCAGTGGCCTTACTCCATAACATAAATTGGACTCATCCATCATGGCTGGTCTTTTCATGTTGAATCAAGTCCAGTCTTCTTTGGGGTGCCTCATTAGTCAGGGCATCAAAACTACCATTTGTGACATCCTGCAGTTGTGCAATACATTTTTAGGTTTAGGTCTGCAGGCTCAGGCTGATCTTCACATTGACCTTTCAGGGGTCAACATTGTAAAAACACAGATATCTATCTTGCCTGGGGGTGTTGAACCTGGGACTGGTTTTTCTTACAAGTCCAAATAGAGTGGGAGAAGGCACTGGAAAGCAGGACTTTTTTGCTTGGGGGTAGGAAAGTGGGGTGGCACATTTTGTCCTAGGAGTCCCAATGGATCTGACAGAGTAATAACAGCACAGCAAGACAGCAAACAGGAGGCTGTCTAGGCAAATACTGGGGCCGCAGATACACTCGTTTCTGTTTCTGGTGGTGTACTGTGGGGTTGGCCTGGTTCATTCAAAGGTTCAGGGTCACACAGGCCTACCTGATGCTTTTATGTCACCCAGCTCGACCACATCTCTGTTCTCTCAAAAGCTAAGCTTCGGATTAGGTTTTAAGGGATGGGAAAACAAGACTTAAAAAGCGTGTTTAAGTGGAAAGTCAAATAGTTTTGGTTTCATTTCACTTTCTTCGGTTTTCTTTTTCCAGCCCTGAGTGTAGTTGCAAAATAATGAATTATCCAGGGCAAAGTAGATGACAATCACCCTGCTTCTGTCACCAAGTACCTTGGCCTAACCCAGTTCTCTGAAATCATATCCTGACCCAGCACTTCACAATGCTTGTCTTTTCTTCCTCAGCACTTGGGATTCTTGTTCTTGACTTTTCTGTGTCAAGGGGTGACTGTTTTTGTGTGTTACGTTAGTCATGAAGGTCATGTATCATCACAACTTGGATACCATGCATTCTGACTTGTCAGGAGAGCCAAGTCAAGAGAGAAAAGGAGGAAAGGTGTCTTCAAGGAATATGGCTGGATCAAGTCTTTCTACTCCTACACCTCTCCCCACCTTACATCAGTTACCTGAAATGCATGGAGTGTTGTTGCGTCCCATGAAGTGTAACACAGGATGAGGCCATTCAGAACCATGTGGCAGACCCCTGCTCCACAAGAACACATTTTTGTGTGTGTGTAGGGGGGGAGGGCCTCCCTCGCCAGTGGCCGGGGAACGAACCTGCGCTGCAGAGGCTGCGGGCAGCCTGGCAGCCAAGCGCTCAACCGCTGTGCCACCAGGGGAGGCCCAAGAACCCCTGTTCTTGGCCCTGGCACTTAGTATGGTTGGTGGGTCTCTACTGGCACCATCTAGAGCCTGCCTTGTTTAAGCCATGCACCCTTTCAGCATGGGTTTTGACTTGCTCCCCAGAACTGCCTAACTAGGTTATCTCCAGATTAGATGACATGGATATAGTTGTGTGGGTGGCTAATCCTTTACCACCCAGTCCAGCAATAGCATCAATAGAAACCTGCTAAAAGAGGAGGTGGGGTGAGGGATGTTATGTGGAATGGTTTCTAGGGAGTCTTTTTTTCTACTTCTTCTGAGTCCAGGATGTCCTGTCCAGGTTCTGTCTGCCTAGGATGCCCAGGTAAGAAATAGGACCTTTCAAGTACTTTCTACACACAAGGTTCAGAGCTACTCAGCATCCTGCAGGCAAGACTGGGGGCTTCCTCGTTCCCCTTCCCTCTCCAGTTCCCAGTGTGCCCTAACCCACTCAAGGTTCTGTAAGTCGTGAAGTCCAGAAACCTTTTTCTCGTATGTGCTTGACCTAGACCTCAGTGGAACAGCAGTGTGGGCAGCCTGCCCTAATAGTGTGGTGTTCAGAGCTGAGTCCCACCCCCTGCCCCAGGGGTTTGGCTGTATCAGGACCACAGCTCTGGGAACCTTTGATCCTAGATCTGTCAGGGTTGTTGTCTGTTCAAGACGACTGATTATGAACTGTCATGAGGAAATGACCTTACAATGCAGGGATGATGAAAACACTTTAATTTTTTTTTTTTTTAATAGAGGCATGTTTTTCTTCATTTGTTTGCTTGTTTGTTTTGTTTGTACATGCACTGGGTATATAGTCAGAAGCGCGGGAGGGTGAGAGAATTCACCAGAGCCAGAGCGAGGGGCAGAGCAGGCAGAAGGACCGAAGCACACTGCCGAGGGGAGCAGCGGGCGGCAGGAGAGGTCCGCGCGCCATGCGGGACCCTCCTCGGGTGGCCGGGGAGCAGCCGGGGATCGAACCGGCACCGCAGAGGCCGCGGGCAGCCTCGCAACCCAGCGCTCCACCGCTGCGCCACCGGGGAGGCCCGATGAAAACACTTTAAAAGACTAGAGGTAGTGGTTGCCCAACATTGCAACTGGCCTAAACGTCCCTGAATTGTTCACCCATGATGCTTAATTCTGTTAAATGAGTTCTCTTCAATAAAGAGGGGAACCATTTCAAATAGTGGGAGGAGCCTGGGGCTCTGAGGAACATTTGGACATGAGGGACGGTATGGCTGGACCTTCACTAGCCAAGAACTCCCCATAGTTCACTAAGGCATTGCTTTTACAGGACCATTCCTCCTCTTACACTGCCTCACAAATGGGGGTTCTTAGGGTTATTCACTGCACATCAAATATGTTCTTACTGATTCTTGGATTGTGTAACTGAGGACAATTAATACGTTCAAGTCATCTAAAGTTGGTGACTAGAAAACTACAGCCGTCAAATTGGTTGACAATTTGAACAAAAGTTTACCCTTTACTTAGAATATCTTCTCTTTATGTTGGCTTAACACGGTGCTGCCCTTAGCCCACTGTCATTCCCACTGAAGGGCCACTAGGCACTGAGGTTTCTGCATTCAGGAAGGGAAGATCAGTCGAGACAGGAGAGGTGTGAAAGATTATAAAAAGTGAATTTTTCCATCTTGCCTAGAATGTCTTTCACAGTTTCTCCAGTGGGAATGAAACGCACGGCTCACACCCAGCTCCAACCGAGGGGATGCAGCCAGTGGAGACAAATGTGTGCATACTGGTAAGGCAGGCTGGGCCAGACCTCCAGGGTTTTGTGGGTCGCAAGTGCCCTTCAGCTTACATGGGAAGTCATTGGAAGGGCTTAAGCAGGTGAAGATTGGGAAGTGAGGCGGTGTGGACTACAGGTGAGGCACCAGGCAGAGCCTTTTGTGTGGCGGAGAGGGGCTCTAGAAAGAAGGGAGAATTTATAGTACTTCTTGTTCATATCAGCATGAACTCAAGGTGGATGCTGTTTCAATTCTTCCAGAGACCCTTTGCAAATCTGCAGTAACGGCTGAGTACTGGTTGCTATTAGCTTTCCTTACTCTCTCCACGTGGAAAGCTGTATTGGTGAGGAAGGTGCAGCTGACTGGGAATTAAACGTGATCACTGACCCAGACAGGAGTAGATGGTGGGTTTATTTTTAACCTTAAGAGACTTACAGCTGGGGCCTCCCTGGTGGAGCAAGCAGTTAAGCAAGGCACCATGGAGCCATCTGCAGCCTCTACAGCATGAGTTCGATCCCTGGCCGGCCAGGGAGCAACCCATATGGCGCTGCAGACCTCTCCTGACTCCCCGCTGCTCTCCTCAGCAGTGTATTTCAGTCAGTCTGCCTGTTCTGTTCCCCACTCTGTCTCTGGTGAATCTTCTCACCCCCCGCATCTCTGGCCTGTACCCCAGTTCTTGTATGCAGGAATAAATAAATCTTAAAAAAAGAAAGACAGCCACTTTAATAAAACACCCTCGCAAGACAGTTTTATATTACATAAATCAAGGCTTGTCCAGCCCCAGGCTTCTACACAAGTTCTTGGCTGGATGCCGTTCCTTCCTTAATTGTGTAAAAGGTGTCTGACAGGGAGCAAACTAGGTATTTTACTATGTGAAACCAAGAAAGTTAAGTAGAAGAACCAAACTTCACAGTATTTCAGTCATCATTTCCTCTTCCGAAATGCGAGGGAAGA